AAAGTGGCAGTAAAAATGGTGGGAGAAAAAGATTATGCATGCACAAAAATAATAAATTTATCATAAAATGATGTTATGACGACTGTTATTGAGTCGAATGCATAATTTGAGCTGTAAGCGTGCACAAAACCAACGAGAAAGGAAACATAGTGAGCGATCGCACAAAAAAAATGGTAAGAGGCAGAAAGAGAAATGCTGAACACAAGCATCGAAATATAAGAAGAAATCCCTCTTTCTGTCTAGGATTTTAATATGACCAAATGCGATTAATCATTTCTAAATATAGCTTCAATTTTTTTTTGTTTCTTATTTAATCAGCTTCTTTATATCGGATGAATTGGTGTATTTCCTGAATTCACGCAGTGTAAATCAAATGATGATGTGGCTGGGTAAATTGATCTCTATTGAACCAAGACATTAATTTCGGAAGACGAATTATTAGCACAGTCATGCACAAGATTCATCGCACTTATGTGTATATTACTATTTCAAATTTATTCAGTCTTTGGTTCGATTCCATCACATCGATTTATTTAAAAGTTGTTTATGTTTCAAATTTGTTTGTCATTTTTTGCTGTTCGACCACGTATCAAAATGCTTTGATCAGTCATTTCGCGGAATTTTGAATGGTTTCACATATCTTTTAAATGTCTTCTTTTTTTGTTGCTCCTTCGGTTAGAGTGGAATTACACCGAAAAAAGTACGTAACTTTTTTTTATAATCGCATGCAAAATGGATTTTTGCACATTCCAAAAGCCTCATAAAAAAATCCAAAAAGAAAGACGCAAAAATAATTTATCTGTTGCAACACAGTTCACGTCATGGCATTATGGTAACGATATCTTTTACTAAAAACCGTAAATGCTTAAGTGATGTCATTGCATCGTAAATTAAGCTATGATCCTTGGATCAGTTGGTTTTGTTTTCATCTTCTTTTCATCTCATTGGCAATAAGTAATACGATCGCCTAGAACAAACAGTAGTACGTGTGCATATTCTCGTTTGCGCTCTATTTTAATCAATAAAAAAGGGAATCTATTGTAAAAAAAACCTTTTGCATCGCGTTTTATTGCAGTAGTTGATCTGGTGATTGGTTACAAGGTACCATGACATCGATCTCCATACCAAGGAGTATGCGTTAATGAATACACAATCATTGATTGCATTTGCACGTTGGAAAAAAAATGAAATCGTCGCACTTTCGTTTTAATTCCATTTATGAATGTGTGTTTTATTACCTAAAGCAGCTTGTCAACCAGTTGCATATGCAATGTGTGCGCTGATGAAATAGTTTGCTTACTACTCAATAAAAGTAATTCCAATATAAATTGCATCAAATTCATTTTTTTAAACGGAGAGGAACAATAATACCAACGAAATGGACAACAAAAAACAAACTACAATCCGATTGAGCCTGAACTCAAGAAAAGAAATCGTACGCATAAACCAAACTGGCATTTTATGGAAAAAAAAGTTGTCTCACATGTGCTGACACAAAAAGGTGTTACAACTTTCTGGTTGTATTTATGATGCTGGTTCAATACCAGTAATTACAAACACGCTTGAGTGTGTTGCAATATCGAAATGCTTGCACTTTTCATCGTTTGCTATTTTGTGTAAATGTGTGCGCATCTCACTTTTCCTCTTAGGTTATTCATACCTTATCAAATTATGTACGCTGTACATGATCAAAAAAGCACCGGTGTTGTTACTTTATTTCAATTTGGTTAAATGCACATAGCGGATGTTTGATATTGGGTTTAAAGGTGCTTTTTTTACTTTAGTTAGTGCTTAAATATTGATCAATATACGTATTTGAAGTGCTAATTGAGAGCCATAGTTCGAAATGGATCAATTAAAATCCGAATCACAATTTCAATTCAATTTTGTGACTTTTGTGTATTTTACTCTCTCTCGCTCTCTCCATCCATCTCGGTGTCATTGTGTATGGCTTGGGTTAAATGATTTTTTGCATCAGTAAGTTGTTTTTTTCTTCTTAATTCTCTCTTGCTGTCGATGTTTTGCATTAAATTTTTGTTTCTGATAAAAGCGTGCAATCGCATCTGAGCACATTATGCGTATATGCAACGAAACAAAACTGTCCAAACTGCAATAAAGATCGGATTTACTTCTTTCACTTCGTTGGTTCATAAAATTTATTTTGAATTGTACGGCGAGTGAGTTATATACGTTTATGGCATTTAAACGCGATATGTTTTACTGGTTGGCTTGTTACTGTCGTTGGTGGATTTTAATTTCTTTAGAGTGCGTTGTGCATAAGCCAATTCTTTTTTTTATTTTCATTTCTTTTCATCTGCTTTTTTTGCACTGCTGTGAGTGCTGCTGCCGCCGCCGCCACCGCCACCGTTGCTCTGTTCACTTGCCCGAGGTATATATCATTGCGAATACATTTAAGAGCATTTTTACCATACAGCGTTCCATCCAGACCTTCACGTTTTCTCTTTTCCGAGTTTCATGTTCATTGTAAAATTATCGACACTGAAAATTACTTGTTTCCATTTCACTTCGCCGTGTGAATATTTCCTTGGTTGACACATTTAATTATTGATAATAGAGAGTTAGGCAATTATGCAGAGCAAGTAAATTGAACCTTTGCGTTTGAAGTTTGTTTTTCTTTTCAAGTTTCTACTCATTCCTCTTCGGCCACATATTCTTTGTCAAATGAAAACGCTTTGAACGTGTGAATCAAAGTAAAATGCGAATAATACGTTGATGTCTTGCAATTGATTTAAAAATAACATTTGAATGAGAATTGATTTTTGAGCATTTGGAATGGTGGAAAAGAACAACGGTCTGAGGTGAAAAATCTCTTGTTGTGTGTGTGTGTGTGTGCGTTTGTGTGTCTTTATTTAAATGTATTAACGAAATAAACTTAATCGTCTGATGACTTATAAAATGAAGACGACGTATTGTCGCACGCATTGTCGATGATGATGGAAACAACGACACTGAACATAGCCACATAATGTAACCGATAATCATTTTACTTAATTTGCGAAATTTGTAGATGCGCCGCGTATGCTGTATATTTTCTCAGTATTCGCCATTCAACGGCCATGGTTTCGTGTGTTCGTAATTTTATGTAAATAAAATGTGTGGCGACCGTTTATATACATTTTCCTCATTGGATTTAAATCATAAATAAAATAAGCAAAATGAAACAGACCAAAGAGATCGTACGTGCGTGTGCTGATGTCAGCATTTGCTCGCATCCTCTGTTCCGCCACAAATCGAACAACAAAAAACGAACAACACTAGAATAAAAATCGAATTAAATTAAAAGCAAATATACTTCTATAGTCGAATTGCTTTGGAAAAGCGGATAAAGAAGATGTGCGCTTGAAACAAAGCACATTTGCCGAAACGAAACTCGAGGATGTCGAGTGTTCGACCAGGAGCCGAATGTTTTTGAAAGAATGAATATCCGAACAAACCAAAGGAAAAAAAAATATCAGCTGGGCCACTCGCTCGCTCACTTACGCTTAAATAGAAACAATGAGCAGCTCAGATGTATACGAACACACAAAAAAATAGTAACAAACACCGAGAAGACGAGAAGAAGAAGAAGAAGAAGAAGAAAAAAACTATGTTGCAGACACAGCGTTTTTCATTCGATCATTCCATCGTCTTTATAATCCCCCAGTGTCTTTAATTTACAATGCAATGAGAGAGTTAGTACAAAACTAAAACATTAAGTGATCGACACAAAATACATTTTCGCAAGCATTCAAATCGGTTTTTCTATTTTGTTACACTATTTTTTGTTCTGCCTCTGTTCGTTGCGCTTTTATTATCTCAGCTTCGCCGACGTTCATTTAAGAAATAGCTAAGTTGATTTTTACGTTTGCCTTTTGCCATCGTTTACGATGTGCAAATCCAATGTTTTTTTCTTCTTCTCTCTTTTTTTTAACAATACGGAAATGGAAAACCAGAATGAGATGGAGAAAAGTCATGACAGAGACAGGGAGAGATAACGGACTGAAGAAAGAACAAAGCACCCAAAAAGAAAACGAATTCAACATTTTAATATTATATGAACAAATGCAATAAAAACAAATAAGCGAATCAAAACGAACATACTACGACGAAGATAAATAATAAACCGCCCTTCAAATGTGACGTGGATCACAAAATGTAATGTGTGTTTATAAAATGATTGTGCTAGTATTTCCCGATGATTCTTGTTCCCATTCTTATCCATCGATAACGATATAAAATGCAAGTGATATGGCCCGAACATCGTTTGATAGTGAAGATGATTAGGCCTACAAAATTTGGATGCCTTTAAACTACTTCTTAGATATCAACAGACAGACAGAGAGAGAGAGAGAGAGAGAGAGAGAGAGAGAGAGAGGGGCAGCGACAGAGATAGAGAGAAAATAAAGGGGGATTAACAAAGACAAAATCAAAACAACTAAACCAAATACAAAAAAAAATATATATATAATGTAATAACGAGAGATAAGAGGTGCGCGTGAGCGCGAGCTCGAGTCGAAAAGAGAACAACAAAAACAACAGCAGCAACACCAGCAACAACGCGGCAGCAGAAAAAAAGAAATGCACAGAAAAGACACCAAGGGTCAACTTAAATGAATGCACAGCAGACACAAGATATTTTTGTTTGGCTTGGTCGAATTCGCATTGTGCATATTTTAAATTTGATCGTGCTTTTGTGCCACTGCCTGTGCCAAGCGCGCGCGCGTTGGCCTCTCTTTAAATGTATGTTTGTATTTGTATGCCTGTTTACTGAAGATGTAGAGTACGTGAATATTTTTGCATAAATGCAAAACAACGAGTCGAAACACAAAAGTGATAATGTACACTAACATCTTCCCTTTTTTTCGTTTGCTGTTTTTGTGTGTGTATTTTTTTTTTTTTTTTTTTTTCAATTTTGTTCGTTCCTCTTAAAATATATGTATAAAAATACGAGATATTTTAAACTTTATTTAAAATTACCATTCGTTTGCGATTTGACTTACCTTCGAGTATATTCTTCTTTGGGATTGTGTAGTGTAGTTTTTTTCCTCTTCGATTCTGTGTTCGTCCTCTTGTCTGTTTATTTATTTGTTTTGGACTTTACAACTCTCCTCTCTCACTCCTCCGATTGTGGTCGTCGTTCTCCGTATAAGTTTTGCTTTGGAAATTCGTTGAATCGTGTTCTTTTTTTTTATTCGTCTCGGCGTTTGTATAGGACGGTTGTATTATTCGTCTCTTCTCTCTTTTTTTAATTACTTTTTGCACTCTTGATAATTTTTTTATCAGTTTCTCTTGAAACTTTTTTCTTCTGTCTCGAATTTTTTTATATACTTTTTATTTCGTACCGCAATTAAAATTTCCACTTAATAGATATACACGATTTTATTACAATGGATACACAAACACCCACTCACGCGTAAGGCTAAAATTTCAAAAAAAAAAGAAAGAAAAGAGGACATTGTTTTTTTTAAATTGTGAAATAGGAAATCTAAGGGACTGAAAAATGGTGTTGATGAGATAGAAAAGAAGAAAAAGATAAGTGCATTAAAAATGTAAAACGTTTTCTTTTGCTCAGTTGTAATGACAACGACTAAAGTTGTTGCTTCATTTTTTTTTTGTATGCCTTTGTGAACATGTTGAACACCTCCGTATTAGCGATTTTGTTATGCAAATAAACGCATGTGTCATATCAAAGTACGTATTTGGCATATTTACCGCTATTACAGCAGCAACAACGGTGATGCGATCGATTTTGTGCTGTAATCACATAGAAAATGTTAAATGCGACCAATCATATTTACGTCGAAACTCATTAAATGTCACCAAATTGATATTGACATGAGGGTGGCCCCTGTTTTTGCATATTCATTTATCATGTCCGTTAAAAGGAACTTGAAAATTTCATCGGTTGGAATGTTGCGCCGACGATGACATGACACTGATTCATCGATTCGCCGTATTCATGATGATCCAAAAATAACACATTCGTCCAGATTTTTTTTTTAAGTAAAGAACGCCCGTCTTTTCACTCTTTTCCCTCGTATTTTCAAATACCGAAAAATCATTCGTTTTGAAAATAACTTGCTTGAAGTTTTTGTATTGTTGTTATTGTTAAAGTGTCGAGGATTATTAGCCCCAAAAAAAAAAAAAAGATATCAAAACGATAAAGAATATCTCATGGCTGTTATGTGATCGAGCAAAAGAATTTCGGGTGAAATTCAAATACATTTTCACGCGTAATCTTATATCGGTATGTATACTGTCATATCCTCGGCATTTGTGAGAATCTATTTGTAATTGGGCGCGAACGCCGAATTTCTCGCGTCACATTCTCATTTCGATCGTCGGTTCTTTTTATTTTCCTTCGCTCGGCTCGATTATATGAAATAACGTACGTACAAACAAACATATTCACATCCAATGTGTGGGAAAATTGTATCGTCGTTGTCGTCTATATTTTCTTTTTATTTTCTCACTCTCAATAAATAGAATGGGATAAAATTTATATGTTTTAATTTAAATAGCAAAACTCAATCGTTTTATCTCTCTTTCGCTATATACACGAACTACCGATGCTCATGTCATTTTCAGACGTTTGCTTGTTCACATCATCCACGAGGAAAGGCTATCAATGAGGCTGTATTTTCACTGTATACATACTGTTTTGGTGTGATATGTATTTTCAATGTCTTTCTATCTCTTTCATTCTTCTTAATCATGCTAGTTGAAGGACTTTCGCTAATTTTTATTTTTAGATCAAGTTTTGGGCGAAATTTTACCGCCCCATACATTCTCACATCTCTCACAAGCTCGAATTCAAAATCGATTTATTATGTATGTGAATATCAGAATAATTGTATGTGCACAATTGTATGAGCAAAACGTTTTTTTTTTTATTATTATCATGTGTGAAATGAGAATTTAAAAAAATGCCAAAAATAAGGTTTAAAAAAATGTCAAATCAAACTACTTGAAGTCTATGCGCACGTTGCTGAAGCCAATCATAAAAATGTCAATACTATAAAATGACAACTTTTCTATGTGCGTATTGCATGTGTTATTTATGATAATGCACTAATTTTTACGGTTGGAAATTGTTTTATTCCATTCCGACAGACAAAAAGATAACAACAAGAACTGTTGATATCTCGAAATGTTCACAATGCATACACGAATCATCACTCTCGCTTAACCAAAAATGTCCAAATTTTTTATTCTCTTGTTCTAAGATTACTCACATTGAAAAACAAAAAAAAACAAATTCTTGGGCACAGTAAAACAACACACAGGTTCGAAAAAAAATTTCTTAAAAAAAAAACAAAACACACAACAAACGCTTGGGTAGCGTAATGCTCAGTTTTTGAATCCGACTTCGCCGACTCACTGATCTCGAATGATGAATAATATCGGTGCAAAATATGGTACTATTTTCGCTTTGGCCGAACGATCGAAGATCGGAGTTGAGTAAGCGCAAAGCGAAGACGAAGACGACAAGACAAAATACGATACAAAGTAGAAAAAAATAAGAGAGAAGAAAAAAAGCTGTTCGTAATGACTAACACACTGCGGCCGATTCGAATATTGAATATATGTATGGAAACTCAAACTAACACCAACGCATCGTGCATCGCATTGACAACCGCTCGGTCGCACATCGCCTCTATCTCTAATACTGGATGAGCGCTCTGCTAATCCAGTGCACGCAATACTTGTATGCAATTCACCGTCACAAACACACAGACACATACACACATGCACACAGAGAATAACCGAATAAGGGAGATACACTAACACAACCGAAAATTGACACATCAAACGCTTAAGCTGAGTTCGTCGCAGCGTGAACGTGTTTGTGTTGCGTATCCGATCAATCGCTCGGATATTGTATTTAATATATATTAATGTACATGCTACTCATTTGTCTTGTTCATTCTTAAATTCTTGTTTTTATTTTGGTTGAATCAAGCGTAAAATCGTTTTGGCTATTAACTGAACAAGGGACGATCGAAATACATAACAGACAGTAAAAAGAAAATGACGATGACAACAATAACGAAAAAATCGACAAAATTGAATTGGGAAATTTTTCTTTGTTAAATATGAGACACTTTAGTCAAACTTTGCTGTGATTGCAACATGAAGAGAGCAAAAAAACCGATGAATATATACAACTTTTTTTTGTATTCGAACTTGTTATTCACGTGAAATTGCAGCCAAAATGCATATGAAAACAAAACAAAAATGAAAACTAGCAGCAACCATAATACTTGTTTAGAATGCATTTGAAGTTTGAACGTCGTTTTGTTATACACGGTCATTGCACAAGAATCTCAAGCCGTTTGATTGAAGAAAATTTGCTTTTATTTCAATTCTGATGTGGAATTTCAAGTCTCACGTCAAGCGACACCATTTCAAAACTTCTATTTGGGCATTTGTTTGGTTTGCTTTTGAAAATACGCCATTGTGTCACCCATATCAAGTTTCACTTTCGCTTCGATTTATTGATAATTAATTTTATTTGCCTCTCAATACGATTATCGATAAGAATTTCTCGCTTACCTCTCAACTAGTTTATGAATCATCGTTCAACGTTTACATTCCGATACGCCCGCAAAAATAGTGATCTCAATGTGACATTAGACCAAAATATCACCATTATTATCATCAATATTTAATTTTGGATTTTTTCGTACTATCACATGGATCCGGTAAACAATTTTTGGTAAATGGTTAATATTTTACGCAGTTCTAGTCATCTTGATCGTATTTTTAAAAAAATTATAAAAGCACTTGTAAGTAATAAGAAATATTTGGGTTGCTCCATAGTTAAAAGCTTCAAAAGTTTTTTTTAAATAATTTTATAAGCTTTTGCATGGCCATCTGTTAAACATTCAGGCAGGCAGTGTTTACTTGCTTTTGAAAAGCTTTTTTAATATCGCATATTATTTCAGCTAAAGAAATAAAAAACAAATGAATGCATTGTGCAAGGTTTTTTACCGTAGTAATTACGTTCGAATAATAACCGAAGCAAACAAATGTCAGAAAATACACAAAATATGCTCGAAATAAAACCAAATTGAATGAATTGTTTCTCGGTACATTTAATGTGCGTCAGCACTGGCTAAAAATATATACTAATTTCATCGAAAATGAATCAAAAATCACACGCAATAATTAATTAAGGTATAATCAAGGTCCGGCATCAATAAGTAACACCTTTGTCTCATCCGAATGTATATTTTGAATTCGCGTAAATTGCATGATGCATTTTATTTCAATAAATCAACATGTCGATTGAATGATGAACAAGAAAAAAATGGAAAGCGATCGATGATATAAGATTGTTTCAATTTAAACGGTTAATTTGTTGAATTTGTAAATTGAATTTTTGAAATTGTAAACGTTTTGTCGATTAGAATCGTTATAGAAGCTGAGTATAGGAAACGGTATCGTGCTAATGTCATTGGTATTAAATGGCAAACATTATTATGAAACATTACAAAATATGTACAAATGTAACTCTAATTATTTTCCATTAATGTCACACATATACAAATAATTGTATTTTCATGAGAGTGATGATAATGACTCTGAATTTGTTAAATTGTCACATAACGTCGTGCTCAATTTTCAATTGCACCAGTGCTTTATCTGAAACCCTGAAATTTACACAATGGCATAAATGAAGCAAAACTCTGCTGCTACTTGGTCGACGGTGTTTTTTCTTTCGTTTTTTTTGTAACTGTACTACCATTATAACTAGTTTTGGTCGAAATGAAATCGACTTTGTCATATTATTGACTACTTGATGTTTTCAATTTCAACCGAGTGTAAAATTAGTTTAATGACAATTATCGATCCTCGATCGAAATACTCGACATGTATTTATTCATTCGAATCTTATTTTAAATCTCAAGATAATAGTGACTCTACACATATACAATAAAAAAAAAATATTTGTGGCTGGGAAAACAATTTTGTCATTGTCATTATTTTATCACTATAGTAATAGAACGGTAAATCAACAGGCTGCTTGTTTTTATTTTTGTTTTATTTTGTTGACATGCAATATGTATGATAGATAATTGGCGCTGAAAATTTCAACGAAAACGTTTTAAAAGTATATATATATTATACATTAATCTTTTATTTCTATTTGATCTACGAATTTACTTTTTATGTTTTTATCGTATATTCAATTGACATTTTTTGTTTGTAATAAATTCGGCTTTTGTGTACCGAATAATTCTCAGTCTAACGCATTTCATTAACACCTCATTCAACCAATGTTATTTAATTTGTGAATCAGCATCAATCAACACCAGTATCGTTTAAGTCTGGTCTCATCTTTAAAATATACAATCGCATTCGATTTTGATGGGGAGCACCTCCAACATAATGCCATAATCGTTGGTATTGTTGTTGATTTAGTCTGCTGCCCATTTTATAATCATAACATTGCGTTTGGCTTCTTTTTTTTGTATTGGACGCAATAGTGTGTCACTGTTGCTTTTTTCTCTCTCATCTCTTGTCATCTTATTTTGCCAAAATGTTTATTAGTCTTATTTTGCCAATGTAAATACCCACCACTATGGCCGATTCAATGGCAATGAAGTAAAGTAAATCGTTGCATTCTACATACAATTTATACGTATGTAATGAATATGTGTATTTCTTAACAAAATAGGAACTGGGCAATTTAATTTGACTTCATTTTCATCACGTACCGAATATTTGTTATTGTCTCTCTTCATATCATCGTCGTCGTCGTTATTATAGTCATTGGCAATAAATATATCTTTTTTTTATTCGGCGGATATATTTGTTGTTTGCCTATTTCAAGTCTGTGGTAATTGTTAAGGTAATGAAGAATAAAAAAAATGAGTCGCAAATCATTGAAACACATATGAAAATAATATTTTCAAGGAAAATGTGCGAATTGAGTTCTTGATTTGTTTGTGTATGTCTTTCGTTCTTTGTTCATTGGTCAAATGTTAATGGCATAGCATAAGTAACAAGCAATCGGGAAATGAAATTTAAAAATGAAGCAGAAAACTAAGAAATAATGTGATGCGGTCGACTATTTGAAGGACCTTCAACGCGCGTAACGCACATTATATTTTTGTTTCTCTTCTCATTTGGTTTCTCTATATATAATTTTCAAAACGAACACACGAAAAACAAACCCACCGAAACATAATTTCAGAAAATTCATAAAATCTGAATACAAAAAAAAGAGGCAGAATATACAAACAAAACGTACGCACGCTTGATCATCGTTCATTTGAAGAAAATGAGAATAGAATATGGAATTATAGCAGAATTAGGTTCCCTTTGGTGTACGAGCCGCGTGTACACTACCACAAATTACAGTGTATTCAAAAATTTGCATTTCATGTTTCCGAGGTTCTTTTGCGCGTACATAGAAGTAGTTATTAAACTTGCAATTTTCATATTTCAAGCGAGTAATTCTTTTGCTTGTTTATTTTTCACATTATCATCGTTTGAGTGGCCGTCTCTCACTCGCGCCGTCTAACCTCAGTATGTATGACAAAGAGAAAATAGTCGAAGAAAATCCGATGCGCTCAGCAACACCATACGCATATGGGCGATTGAAAGAAATAAAAATTGCAAGAAAAATAAAAATGTAAATATCGCCCAAGCAAAAAGGGCTGAGCGCGACCATTGGAATTGGCGCACGCGCACAACTCGCACATGTACGCGATCTTGCCGAAATAAATAATACATACACACCGTTGTAAGAACGTTGCACGCGCGCTACCAAGCTAAATTATATGCAACATTATTTTTGCGAAATGATGTTAATGACATACAAAAGCATCAGAAAATGAATTGAAAACAAAAAAAAAATAATGCCAAAGCTTATTATGAATTTTCATGTAGTGTGTTTATTTTCCATTCGTGCATTGTATATGGTTTTCTGTATGTTTATGTGTGTATGTTTTTTCTCGCTAATTTTATTCTCATTTTCATTCTTATAAAATGATCACAGTTAATTTGAGCATTCTTTTGGCCAGGCATTTGTGATGGACCCAAAGAAGCAAAAGCAATATAACAACACAGTTTTAAAACAAAAAAGAATGGAACGTATATGCATGCCAACATGTGTGTACCATTGCGGGAAAAACGAAACGGACAATTCATTGAGCCAAGAGAGAAAAAAAATGAAAATTTTCTACTAAAACTTGTTGCATTTTGTAGTTAGGGCCCAATGTGTGTGTGTGTGTGTGCGCGCGCAATTCAATATGCAAACGCATTTTTCCACCGATGGACAGAGCACGTGACGATGTAAACACTACACACCACGTGAGATTCATATTCATGAATAGAAAATATTCTTAAATACAAACAATGATCATAATAATAGTTAATTTTCGCTCAAAGTCTCACTTATTTTTCGCACTTTTTGTTATTTATTTGTTTATCATGTATCTCTAGTTCTGCGGTTACTGATGTTGATGTGTTTTTTTTTGTTTTTCCCCTATTTTTTTATATTTCATTTGCGTTTTAATTTTTTTGGATACAAGTGGCTGCTTTTTCGGTTACACAATACCACAAAAAGAAAATGTTTGAAAACAAAACAAAAAATCGGCCACAAGCCAGCGTAAAGATTTTCGCGAGAGCAGTGGTCTCACTTCGTATCTCATTAAATGTTATCTCTGTCTATGTGTGTATGCTCGTTGCTCATGAAAACGAAAAAAAAAAACAATCAAACATCGTACGTTTTCTTACAGAGTTGTTCAAAAAATGATAATAGGAACTGTAATAATGTTGTTATTAATTAGCGATCGGCCATGTACTCCAAAGTAGACAATAATATGGGCGCAAAAGAAGCGAGCAAAGAAAAGACGCAAAAAAGCATTTTAAACAAAACAAGCGCATTTTTCTTTAATTTGAATGTAAACATTTTTTTTTATTTGAAAAGAATTACAATTTCGAATGGAAGAACTCTTCTTCCATCAGCGATCATGCCGGTTATACAAACATATTTGAATGTGAAGATGGCTGAAATTTTTAAGCGCCGCTTTACCGATTTTATTCTTTTTAATGCAATCGCATTCTATTGGTGGAATTAAATTAAAAGAAGATAGCATCACTATCTTCAAGCACATTGAATGCGTTTGCAATCGTCGGTGAGACGGTAAGAATTTCAATGCCGTGTGCAATAGCATCAACATAATTGTAGAGTGAATTAATCTAATTCAATTTGATGGTTTGTTGGACTTATTTTTTTTGATTGGGTTTTGTTGATTTCATAAGTGCTACGTACGTTGATGACTAGGTTGATGAATCGAAAGGGAAATGGTTATAATGACATGCGTAGCTTTGTCGGTACTTTTTTTGCTTCTTTGTATGTTTTTTTTCTTTCTTCACCATTTAGTTGTTTTTCCGACAAAAATTTATCATTGGAGCAATGTTATTGGGCCCATTGTTTTGTGCAATATCTTAACGTCACAAATGTATCAGAAATGATTTGTGATATTTTTTTCTTTCGCATTTTACAGCGGTCACGTTGATAGCCAATATGATTATCGTATTTGTATATGAATATGTTTTATCCAGCAAGTGTGTACGCACCAGCAGCATACGCGAATGAGACAGAAAACGTCATGCGGTCGCACAAGTAATTGTGCAAAGCAGCAATAGCAATAGCGCCAACAACAACAAACAATAATTTGGATTGTGATTTGTTGTTGCTACTGTTGATATCATAGCGTATTTTACAAGCGCGCACCTTCTCGCTATTGTACTGTGCCATGCTATACAACTATTATGTACAATAGAGTTTGAGATGTCTACTTCTTCTACCACCTGTTTTATATCTCAGTATTGTGTGATGCCAATACAGTTTTTATACGCTAACTGAAAAAAAGAGTGATTTTTAGCTCAGAATTTAGTGTATAAATAGTGGAAGCTCGTCGATTATTTTGTCAGTACAGATTTAGCCATTTGCTAGATAGTGTCATTTGCTTGAAAAATCGACAACGATCAAATACTAATAAGCTCTTTGTAGCAAATTTTACTTAAAGTTAAAAAAAAAAACAAACATATAAAAAACATATCATATATAAAATGGTTTCAATGAAAGTTGTAAGTTTTCGATATTTGAAAGTGATAAATGTGCATACGATACGACTTTTGTGAAAAGTGAAAATTATTCTTACTCATTGGATTAAAGTCACTCTTTTTGGAGGATAAAATTATTTTATCGAAAGGATAATCAGCTGAATATAGTTTGGCCAAAAAGAGAATTTCGCTGCGATTTATCCCAACACACAAACATAGATTTTTTTTGTTGTTATTTAATTTAAAAAGCGAAAGTTGAACATTTTCGATTTCTTTTTATTTTAAAAGATTATCCTCGTATTCGCCATCATTGCTTGTGCTGTTGCCATTCCAGCTGGTGCACCACAACCAAGACCCATTGCTCCAGTTGCTCGTCAACAGCGCGCCAACGCCGAATCAGAACAATTGACTAGTGGTGCCGACGATCAAGACTTGAAAGCATCTTCATCGTATGGATATGGGTAAGAATTAAAGTCAATTTTCGTTGATAGTTGATTTGGATATATTTTGCTTTTTTTGCTGCTAGATATTACGGTGGTCTTGGTGGATACAGTGGTCTCGGTGGATACGGCGGATACGGAGGCTATGGCGGATACCCATATGCTTACTCTTACGGTAAATATAAATTACAGTTTGAAAATACAAAATAAATTGTTTTAAATCCGAAATTGACAATCAAGAAAAAAAAACATTTTGAACATATTGTGGATTTTGAAAACATTTCCACGACTCATCAAAATTAGTGAATCTTGTTGAATCCTTTACAAATGATGAAAATACAGAAGAAATAACATAATAAAAAAATTGTTTGATATATTTACAAAAAGGTTATCCTGGCTATGGATATGGTTATTACAGCAGCTTCCCATACTCACGAGGTAAGCACTCATCAATTGAAAAATCAACAATTTTTTGAAAACTTTGTTTTTCTAAATGATTTCTATTTTATTTTCAGGATACGGAGGTGACCTTACTTTTTTACTTTAAATTTCAAATTTATAATGTTTGCTAACTATTTCTCTTTAAATTTAATTTTTCAGGATACTATGGAGGTAAAATTTTGATAAAAAATTACTTGATTCCTCATAGATGAGGATATTATGTTGTCGATACAAGAATATTTTTAATTTTTTTTTCAGGATATTATTAAAAATCTTCGGCCAACCAAGAATTTTCGACGCAAATAAATCGACGTGGTGTTTATATACCATGCCGAATGGATAAACTGATTAATTAATTTCGCATTTGTCTCCTTTTCAAAATAATTATTTCTTTTTTGTTTGTATTATTTTTAACGTTTACTCTCCAATCAACTACCTTCTTTCTATCTCTATTCGATCCCCTGATTATAATACTGCTTTTTTCTTACAACTACTACAAATTCGACGATTTTTTTTATCGAACGACAAAACAAAATAAGCAAACTGCCATTTCCAAAACTAAAAAGCAAACAAAAATAATTCCATTCAGTACATCAATTTTGAAGCGAGCACATATGAATGCAAGATATACTATGTTTGGTATACGAATGGCACAAGTGTGTGCATGCGCAACCGATTGTGCTGAATGGAATATCTCTTTTCAATTTTTTTTTTGTACAATATGAAAAACATACAACAATGATCAATAAAATGTGTATACCGTTTGTAAAAAACAACAATTAAAACTCCATGTCTTTTATTTATTGAGCCTAAAATTGGTTTGCAATTACAATTACCATTGAAAATCGTTTAATGCCGATCGTGCAATTTAAAAAAAAACTTCGCTTGGATAAAATATAATCATCATTAATGTATAAAAGTTGATTTAATTCAAACGTCAGATGCAAAATTACTCGCAATATTCACTGACTCAGCATATTTATGGACGTAGTTTTCTTTTTTGTGTACAAAGCAATTCTTCTTCATTCGTATGAATTGTTAAATGATAAAGAGAGGCAAATTAAAAGATTGATATAATTAAATGTGATTGGTTCAACACACTAGGTGATTGTTATGTGGTTGACTAAATTTAAATATCTAAATTTACTGGCCATCTGTTTGTTTGAATTATAATAAACAATTGATGTGCAATGCAGTTCAATTATTCAATCTAAAGTCGTTATAAATTTAATTGTCATAAAGTATACATTAAAATTATCACACAGGCCGCGAGATGAAACATCAAAATGCATTAAATAAGCAGCGATAAAACACATACATTTGAATAGAGAGAAAAAGAGAGAGAGAAAAAATGAAAGAAATGTGATCTTGATTCCATTCCACCCTTGTGCAGTACAGCGGTAGTAATAATTGGATAACATTTATAGAAAGAATTAAGACACATTGTCCGATTAAATACATACAAACCAGTTAATCGGGTTCAACGATAAAGAATCATAATACCATTTTCATGTTCATTATTAACATCGGTGGTAGCCGATAAATTAGCAATGTTAATAGATTGTTTAATATTTCATCAAACTGGCAGCGCATTGTTTGTGTAATATACAGTACAATAAATTATGTATGTTTATAACCATTTTGTTCATAGCACATTATTGCAAGCGGATCTTTCTTTTCAACACCATAAAATGCATATTAATTGTCTTTAGCTAAGTAAATCAAATCAAAGGCGGTCATTCAATTTTTCGTGTGTTTTTTTTTTGTATTTTTCGTTTCGAAAAATTCTCTTCTAAAGTATTTGGTATGTTCAATCAAAAGTAATGCATAAAAATTAGCTGTGTCACAGTTACAGCAACAAAAATAAGAAAACAAATTGAAATTCTGTCTGCTGCTCGAAGCACAAAGAAACCACTCGAAGCATTTAAAGTATTGGATCATTGTTTCGGAATGGTAATGAATTAAGTGCATCGCCTCATCGCCGTTGACAGTTAACTACTGATTTGTTCACGTTGTGTTGTGCTTTGCTTTATGTGCGTTTTCCTCTCTTATAGTCGTTCGTCGTTTTTTATGCTGTCTTTTCTTTTTCAGTATGTGTGTGTGTGTGTGTGTGCTTTTTTTCATTCAATTTTTAATCATCGCAAAAACCTCCTATCTGTTTTTAATCGCTCATTTTTCAACTGTTGAAATATAAATTGGAAGCGTTTATTTGAATTTTCAATTTCAATACAGAGAGTCCCATAGGAACATTTAATTAATTTATGAGAAAATTAGTCATGTGCAACAAACGTAATTCAATGGAGTTTCTATTGAAAAATCAACCGAATGTACATATTGTTTGATTCATTTAATTCGACGTTGTGGCAAAGAAACATCCACATGAAAAATGACCACAAACAATATTTGTGGGATTCGCGGGAGTAGAAACAGTAGCTGCGCGCATGTGTGTGTATGTGTGCTGTTCTCTTTCTCTTTTTCTCTATTTTTTTTCTCACTGAAAACATGGAAATGCATATGATGTACTGTAGAATGGCATTGATTCATTAATGATGATACACAATACGATGGAAATTACGATTTAAATAAATTATCACACAATTTCAAAGCTTTTGTTTTCAAAATCCATTTTATTTTTTCATTCAGTTGAACCGATTTTGAATTTGACCAATTTGACAGTCAGTGGAATTTCAGACTCTTTTGTTTTTGTGGGAGACTTTTTCCGACAACGGTAACAGCGACAGTTCAGAAGCATCAATCGATGCTGTAAATTTGATGTAATAACATCTCTCGCGATGGATGTGTTAAAATCGTGTAGCATTTCAATGCCTTAATCGAATCATTAAAGCGACGAATCACCGCGTTTTAAACGTCGTTTATTTATTTAATAGGTCATAAAAAGTGATCACACACACACACGAATTGGCATGAGATCATAATTATTTAAAATCACGTTTTATGTTCTTAATAATATATATTAACTTATTATAGAATTTGTGTAACATTGGCTGAGAATTACAGGAATTTATATTGACCGACGAGAATGACAACGGGAACTAGACGACAGATCTCGAGTGAAATATTTTTTTAGAACAAGGTTTGATGTCTGTCGATTGAGAAAATATCTTATTATCACGAATTTTGATATCATATTTACTTATCTTCTGTATATTAAATTCACGAACCTAATCTTTCGACGTCAAATGTTGATTCATTCCTTTGATGAACGAATGAACAACGTCGATTGAAAAAAAAAGAAAAGAAATATAAATATATAAACTGTTAACACAGAAAATTATTCAAGAATGTGCTGCATCGTTTTGAAAGTAAAATCGAGACTTGAATAACTCAAATGTTTCGAAGAGTTCGATATAACCAATATCCAAGCTCTATCTGACATGGAATCGCGCGCGTCTAGGTCTTTCTGCTTGCGTGGGTTCAATCAAATTGCTGAAATCCTCTTTTTTAAGGTTTGTAGTGCAATAAATGTGTGTAAGTGCGTTTATTTCAATTTACGAAATGTGTGCGGGAATTTTTTTTTTCTGTAGTTTTTGCGGAAAATACGCATGATTGAGCCCAAGCAACCAAACAAACAACCATCAAAGACATAAAATGTCCACATGCTCAATATCATAACATTATGCCGAGATCTTGAGAGTCATAGCCAACCAAAGCATGTGCGTGTTGTTTGGGAAAGAAATGTGTATTATGATGAACGTGTTCAACAATTACATTTTGTTGTTGTTGTTGTCGTTCATTCTTTTTATTCATAAAATCAAACCTATGAATTATCGTTCATTATTCATCATAATTTGAATATATGTGCGTATTACTTGCGATTTGTTCACCGTTTTATTGTTATTTCATCGTTGTCATTCGATTTCGTTCATCACACAGCATTTTTGGTTATATACGTATAATGTTCCTTCTTTTGGTGTGTGGTTGCGATTGTTTTTTTGTTTGCTTGATTCGTTTTATTATGTGGACATCTCTTGTGATATGCAATCGCAAGTGGCCCGGGCATGAGCCATGCTCTATGGAAATGTTTGAATGAAGACAAACAAACGGTGCGCGCGTACACATTTAATGTACGTAAAACGACCAAGGAAAATGAAAATGAAAACGAAATTCTTGGCATGCTGTCCATTGATCCGCGCACTGAGTTTTGTATAAATTTATTTTGTTTTTTTTTTCTTCTTCTTTGATTTCGCATACGATTTCAATGCGTTTTTAGGAAAGGAAATCGCTTTAATTATGTATTTATATATCTCTATTATTATAATTAAAATTAATATTGTTGCAATACCATTTTTTGTTTCTTTTTTTTTTGTCATTTTCATTGAGAATACAAATTTCTGCCACTCTACGCGATCGATTTGAATTGAATGTATGTGTGTGTGTGCGCCAAATGCATAGAAAGAGCGTAAAAGAATGAATATACAATTGAAATGAACCTACAATTGTTGTTGCTATTTAGATGGTTGAAGAGTATTATATACACTACTATTATTAAATTAATATTTGCGTTTCTTTTCTTTTTACAAGTTGCAAATGTTGTGATTTTAGTATAAAAGAGCATCCATCAGTCCATTGTTCGTCAGTCACAGATTTGGTGTCGATAGATAGATAGCGTAGAACAAAGAGTCAGCAAGCCCAGCGAGTACATTACAAAACCAAAGAATAAAAAAAAACCAGCGATTGCATACCATCGGCGAATATAAAAAGTCGCAGTCAAATTAAATAATTCATTCATTCATCGTCAAGTCGCAGGCAAGAAAGAAAGAAGTAAAAAAATGTGTGCCACCAGAGCTGTGAGTGCAATTTGAAATTTTTATCCGCACAAAATCCATTTTTCTTCTCTTTAACGTATTTAAATTGCGATGCACATACCACATTCTATATCCATAGTGAATAAAATACGTGATACTGATTGGAATCAATAATGCATTTTTTGCATTGTTTTCACATTCTGCGTTTTTGTTCTGTGCTTCATTTTTTTTTTTTTTTTTTTTCGTTAAATTCGATTTTGTCGCGCCGATTCCATCTTTATACATATTTGAGTTGCATTTTATTAAAGATGTTAATTTGTTGCTAGGTTCTTATTCTATTGTTTGCTGTTGTCGCATGTGCTGTGGCCATTCCGGCCGCTGTGCCAGAACCAGCATCGCCAGTTGGAGCACCACTTGGTGGACTTGAACCACGTGGTTTGGAGAAGCGTCAAATTGATGGACTCGAAGCCGGAGCGGGACCAGAACAATCACAAGATTTGAAAGGATCATCATCGTACGGCTATGGGTAAATGAATGCCGGAAGAAGAAGGAGGACAATTATCGACGTCTACCGTTGTACAATATGTTTTAATGTTTCTTTACTCCAATCAGATTCTATGGAGGTTACTATCCATACTACCGACCATACTATGGTGGATGGGGCTACCCATACTACGGCGGATACGGTAATTAATTTTATGATCAATTTTACTTATATCTTTTTTCAAATAATAAACATTTCTTTTGGATAAACCCAATCATTAATTTATTATTTTCTGAACAAATATTTTCAAAATTCTTTTAGGATACCCATACTACTACCGTTCCTACTATCCCTACCGTTCATATGGTAAAAAATTTAACGATTTTTTCTAATCACAAGAGTTTTATTTTTAATTCTAGCGCCTTTTTATCCAGGGTACGGATATGGTGGCTTTTGGTAAATAATATTTGGATTCTTTCACACGGAACGAGCTTTCTAAATAATCAACTCAATCATTGCATTCATCTCCCCCTGATGTTTTCTCAGCTTTAGATGTTCACATTATTTTGACTTTTCCTACCATTTTTATGTGATTTTTCTATATTACATTTTTTTTTTTTTTTTGCTATTCAAATAAAGTTTGCAAGAATCAAATTATCACGATTTTTTATTTCATCATAAGCTAATTTCTAGATTGATACTAAAAATAAATTGAAAATAAATCGTTTCAATTTCACGTATACTATAACACAAAACGAACAATAAACAAAATTAGTATCATTATAGAGTAATGATACGTTAAAGTAAACTATATTTAAAGTTAATTGTGCGTTGCAATCGTAACGGCACTCAAACATACCATCCTTTGACTTTGGAAACTTTTGATGAAGCACAATAAACTTTTGCCGCTTTCAACCCGGCAAACCATCTTCATGTGTAAATAGACGCTATCGCCCCAATGTATGCAATACATTTACATCTTAACACTTCGTCATTTTTTCATGGAGTGCATGCTAGAACTGGAAATAAAACTTTTCAAATCCGTTCTTTTGAAGTTTTTTTCATCAAACATAATAAATTAATTGGTTGCCATAAAAAATGAGAAAAGGTTCATTTCATTCACTTTCATATCAAATTCACGAATAGAAAATTTATTGATCGCTACCACCAGATTATATGGCCATATTTCGTGGAGCGATTTTGACGATTTAATTTACTTCAATTTCACGCTTCAAAATGAGCGAAATATCAAATAAATAATGTTTTTCATATTAATATGCTGTTGATGGACGAAAATATTTTTGTATATTCCATTTTTTCTACATGAAACAATGGAAATGGAAAGCAAATGAATGAATTTTTAGAAAAAAATTGAAAACAAATCGTAATTAGCGCTCATGCGCTGAAATAATAACAAACAAAATCCTCGTACAATAAAAATGAAGCCGAACAAAAACTGTATTTAAATAAATTTCTTATCAAGATGTTCGCATATTCAACAAAATAAGACAACCAATCGTTATCAAGTTGAGATGGTGATTCATTCACGAAAGATACTAACGAAAGAGAGTGAAATTATTCAAGACGATACAGTATATTTGAAGTATCCACTCGAACTGCAGTTAACGCATTTGAACAAGTGTGACCAGTGTGTTTTGGTGCGGTGACAGAGAAAGAGAGAAAAGAATAATAGACTCATTTCAATGTGCGTTCTTTTAATTTATTGTGGCAAGTGTTTTTCTTTTTATTGATCTGTCTTCAAATCAACATTTCTATATATTTTACGCTCAATTTAGGCTCGTCACAAAACCCGATTGAATAAAACAACTTTATTGGATCAGCTGAAGTTTTCGACAAAAAAAAAACTTTTAAAATTAAACTATAATAAATAAAATTGAACGCTGCAATCAAGCTCTAGAATTAAACGTAATCAAATTGAGTAAAAACTGATTGAGGACATTGTGATGAATAAAGAATCTCATTAAATCGTATTCACATAGATTCCAAAATAAGCAGCGTGCGTGTTTTCATTTTTGTTCGGTAAACAAAAAGCGAAGAAGAAGAGACCAAAGGTTGACACGTCATAGAGAGCGCGCACATAAACAATACACCAACATGACTGACACTTCGAATGACATTTCAGTTGGAAGTTTAACCGAATTGCAGAACATAAACAATGTTCAACGAACAAATAAACTTTGTGATGCATTTCAAAAAACATTCAATTGTGAACCAAAGTTCTTTGTCAACGTTCCCGGCCGGTGGGTTAACCTATTTGCATACAAACATTTGAAGAATTTCAATGTGTCTGTTTTGTTTTCTATTTCAGGGTGAATTTGATCGGTGAACACATCGATTATTGTGGTTATCCCGTATTGCCGATGGCAATTGAACAAAGTATTTTACTCGCTGTTGCACCGTCCGAAGATCGTTATTTGCATATAACAAACACAAATGAACGATACAAACCGTTGAAATGTCCTATCGATAATATCATGTATGTAAATTATTATGATTTTATTTCGGTCAATTTTAAATGATTTCATTGTTGATTTTCACACATTTTTCGTAGAGTACAGGTGCCTGAAAATGGAACACCACCAGAATGGTACAACTATTTTTTGTGCGGTGTTAAAGGAATCTACGATGAATTACCAAATGGTCCGCAATGGGGAATGTTAGTTACTGTTTCCGGGAATATTCCACCAGCAGCTGGTCTATCAAGCTCCAGTGCATTGGTTAGCGCTGCCACATTGTGCACGAGCTTTGTGAATAAGGTTCATCATCATTTCAAAGATAAATTGCGTACATTCTATTTATTGGCTAATTTTTTTTTTTCCCTTTTTTCTTCATCGAACAAAATAGTTTTCGTTGAACAAAACAACGCTTGCCGATATTTCAGCGAAATGTGAAAGATATATTGGTACACAAGGCGGTGGAATGGATCAGGCAATTGCATTTTTGGCCATTGAAGGATGTGCACAATATATCGAATGGGAACCATTAACGGCAACATCAACCGCTCTACCGTCGAATGCATTCTTTGTCATTGCAAACAGTTTGACCAAGGCAAATAAAGCAGCCACCTCTGATTTTAATCAACGTGTCATTGAATGTCGTTTAGCTTGTCGAATTCTTGCCAAAAGTGCAAATTTACCGTGGCGAGAACTGGAACGATTTTCAACGCTACAAAAACGATTACAATGTTCGCTTACCGATTTTGAAAGGTTTGCTGATCGTATTTTAACGCGAGATTTATACTCAAGAGATGATATAATTAATTTCTTGGAAGTAGATGAAAATGAATTTGAAAATCAATTACTTACGCCGAATACAAAACATTTGGAAAAATTCAAATTACGTCAACGTGCCATGCATGTCATTCAAGGTAACGAGACATTTGTCCATTGATTGGTCTAGTTAAATTGATTAATCTATTTGTAGAATCAATTCGAGTGACCCGATTCCGTGAAGTGGCTACCAAAAGCAACAATATCGAAGAATTGGGCAAATTGATGAGAGAATCACATTTAAGCTTGAATGAATTGTACGAATGTTCACACGAGAATCTAAATCGATTGGTCGATATTTCAGATCGGTTCAATATCAGTGCACGTCTTACTGGCGCTGGGTAAATTTCAATAATCGTGAATGAATTTTCCAATCTAATAGTTATTGATTTGTCTTTAGTTGGGGCGGATGTATTGTAGCCATTTGCGATTCGTTGGAAACTAGTTCAAAGTATATAGCTGAGTTGAAGGAGAAATATTTCAAGAATTTGCCTGACTATGATGAAAACGAAGCTGATAACATTGTATTCGTTACGAATCCACAACGCGGTGCAACAATATACTTGAATGCCCAATAAATATTGCAAGTTAATTTTGAAAATTAAACGCCAATAATTACAAAGATCCAAAATAAAAAAAAAGTAGTAGAGATTACCAAATTTATTATCCAATTTTCCAAATCGTTTTGATGTGGCGTCATCTTTTGTTAAAGCTTCTAACCAACATATAGCCAATGAAGAATAACAGTTTAAACGATTTTGACATTAAAACCAAAATAAACGGCAAATTAGGTTATGTTTGAGTTTGCAAAATGTTGTTCATCTTTTTTAGCTTATAAAGTGTGTGGTAAATAAATGAAATGTTGAAGTCATTTAATATTATAGCAAAGCGATTCCTACAAACATCCGCCGTCAATCTCAAAGGTCATGCAAAATGGCAAAATATCAAACACATAAAAGCGGCAAATGATAAAATACGTTCTATGATGATTACACGACAATTGAGATTGCTTCGTATTGCTGCCAATGGTTTGTATTTAAATATTATGCTTGGAATTCAATTTATGCGACCAACTTGTATATACATTTCTCTGACTACAGACGGTGGTTCACCAGTCCCCGAAACAAATCCAATGTTACGCGATGCAGTTGCAGAGGCAATACGACGTGATGTACCAAAGACAACGATTCAAAATTTCTTAAAGAAGCTATCGGAAATTAAAGATAAACCAATTCAGAGATACTTGTACGAGGGACGGATGTACAAAAAACTTTATGTTGTTATCAGCATGTTTCCGAACAGCGTGGGGCTGGCTAAAATTCAAATCGCAACCGTATTTAGAAAACATTTGGTGGAAGCGATAAATGCAAAACGAGTATTCAATGAGCGTGGCGTAATCAATGTCACTGCTCGAGATGGTATCAGTCTCGAACATATTGAAGACGAATGTCTAAGTGATGCCATCGAGTGTGGAGCTGAAGATATTGAAGTCTATAATGCTGCCGAACGACAAGTTTCGTTTTTCTGTGATCCAAATGAATTTCTTAAAGTTCGACAAAAACTTTCGGCTCTTGGACATAAAGTGGAACACTCAGAGTGCGAATTCTTTCCAAAAACACAATTAGTTCAATTGAAAGAATCGGAATTAAATGATTATAAAAACTTCAAAAGTAAACTAATCGAATTTGATGGATTTGATGAAATTTATGATAATTTAGATGATGACAACGATGAAAATGCGTGAATAGTGGACGACCGTTTATTTACCACACATTTTGTAAATAAAAGATAAAATAAAAATATGAATGATGATTGTTAGTAAATTTTTTGGGTGTTTTATTTTTTGGAATTCTTTCGAAGGAAACTGCTCCTTTGTTTTTGCTTAATTCCGTTTTATTATCAATTTTTTTCTGCAATTTAATTGACTGAATCCAATTAGATTATACTTTAAATAGATTTGTTTTTCTCAGAGATAATATAATCATTCATTCAATTTCTCAATAAATGAACAAAAAAATTGTTTTTGTTTGCGAAGAGATAAGGTTTATTAATTTAATTTTAATCTAGCACATTAATTTTCCACTTATTTTGTTTATTACTTGTCACAAATAATCAAAATGACCATTATTTGGTCTTACAATCGTTACTTGTTTAAAATGATCATTAATCAGCCAAATATTGTAATTGACATCCAAAGACATTCACGATATTTTGAATAACTCACTTTGAATAACTTTTTATTTTATGGATACATCATTGAGATTAAAGAACTATAAAATCTGGCATTCCAATAAACCTATTGTTCTGTTCTAAAATATGTTGGAAACTTTACCTCAGTAAATTCTCGATTGTTCAAAATCCACGTTGATCCATTTTCGGATACTTTTAGTACACGCAATAAACTTTTGGCGCACTCTTCTGGACTGAATTAGAGAGAAGACCGTGACATTTGTTTATTGTTTCAAAAATATTAAAATTTATTTACATACGTTTGACTACCGTGCATTTTGGCAAAATTTGAAATGTCGTCGGCTCCATTAGTTCCGAACATATTTGATGTTACATTTTGATACAGAGTAGTGATGGTGGTGCCTGGGCAAATCATAACAAATTTAATGCCCAGTTCAGCTACCAAATTTTGATGTGCCAGCGCCCGGGTAAAACCGATTATTCCAAATTTACTTGCACTATCGCGGAGTATATATATCATTATGGTAATTTATTTGATTTATCAGAATATAAGATGTAAATATACTACCAATAGGCAGGTAAGCAAAAAAATGGATCAAGCCCAGCGATCGATGACACATTTACAATCATTCCACCACGTCCACCTTTGCTAACACTCATATGTTCTATTGCGGTCAAAGTTCCATACATAACTCCAAGCTTTGTATTCAAGCAAAAAAAAAAAAAAAACATTTTTGACGAATTATTATGTGGTTAGCTGGTACTCAGTTAATACTTACAAGATTTGTATTAATTACATCTTCGATGTCGGATTCGTTTGAGATTGCTGCGCAATTGGCCAAAACATCAACATAGCCAAAAGTGTTGATAAGTTCTTTGAAAGTATTCTCAATTTCAACTTTGTTACGAACGTCAACTTTACGAAATAAAACATTATTTTTTGGAAATGCCGATTTTAAATCAGCAATTGCATCAGTTTGATCAACAATATCGAATATAGCAATTTTCTGTGGAAAAACAATTTTTTTTTTCTAATTTTCAAGTAATAATATTATCATAATTCTAAGAAAATTCTGAATTTTAAAAGTGAATAACCATTTTAACCTCGATATCAGTTGCCAGAAGCTGTTTAACAAAATTTAGGCCAATACTTTCTCTTTTACCACCACCAATGACTACAAAACTTTGCTCTTCAAATTTCATCTTTGAAATAAGAATCAATATTCGCGTTTGTTAAATTTAATCAAAATGAACAGACCAGACAGCAACTTCTTCTATATATATTGCAAAGTGTACGTCAATTTCATTTTATTTATAAACCGCTATATAATCTATATGCACATTAATTGGTCTCATTTACATTAAAAACCCATAAAAATTAGCCATGTTTGCAGACCCTGCACGCATATTTTAATTGCTCAATTTTGGTAAGTTTGACGAATGCACACATTATATTGAGATATTTTCAGCCAGATACCGTCAGGCGCTGAAATGTGAAAATAATAAAAAGTGATTATTGCAATGTACGTTCAATTATGATCATAACAATCGCTTCTAATGTTTTCACTTAATTTTAGCGTCTGACGATATCTAGCTGAATATATCTCAATATAATGTCTGGACGAATGACTTAAATAATAACAAACTTCTCAATGTTAATATAATACCATTGTGGTCAGTGGCATCGGCATGATCAAATAATAGAACAGCGTAATATAAGGGGAAAAATTATAATAAATGTTTGTGTTAAGTTTTTTTATAACAATTGATTTATTTATTTTTGCATTGAAATTCAACAGCCCATAATACATTTAGATGTAGATTATAATTGTGTATCTCTTAGCGGTTAAAATCTTTTTTTTTTGTTAAATTTGCATTTTAATTAAACAATATCTAGAGAATATGATGTCTAACCGAAAATGGTGCTGCTTGTCTTTTGAAAGGTTTAATATTCCGCGCCATATATTTGAACCACATAACTGCTACTAAAAATCATTATTTGGATTTTTTTTTCCTTATTTCTGCTTTTCAATATTGCAATGATACTTTTTCATGCAATATTACTGAAAAATTTGCAAATTTGACGTGATCTGGCTTCAAATTAGAATAAATTGGCTAGGGCGTTTCATTGAAACATGATATTTGTCCTTCTTTTCCAATTAGTTTTCTTTTTATTTTGTGTTAGAAATGGGAATCAACTGGATTAAGAGATAAATATTTTTTTAATTTTCGTAAATTTACTCTTTGTGTCTGATTGATCCAAGAAAAGAATTTTTTTCAAATTGAATAACATTTAAATAAATTGATCAATTGAGTTTCATCTCGATTCACGAAAATGTGTATGATTTCAATTTTAAAAACATAAAAATATTGGAAAACGAAATTAAAATCAATATTAAAATTAGTTTAAAACCAAGAAAATATATTATATATAAAAATCTTGTTTTTCAAATTTCATTAAATAAAATAATAATTGCATTAGCGTAGCTCTGCATTGTTCGTAATACTAACCATTAAAGTGATTTATTTATTTTAAATGTATGTGTGTGTATTTTTTATTTATTTGCGTTGTACTGTACGTTATTTAGTTTTGTAGTATGTATATGCGTTTGATTCGACGAGAAGGCTAAACTTGTCTTTGATGATGTATGAACCGAATTTGTTTTTCTTTCTTTATCTGGTATTTATTTTGTACAACGAAGGGAAAATCTCTCAGCCCATGATTGCGTGTTTTATGGTGATTTTGCAAAAAAAAAAAATCTTATTATTATCCCTTTCATTCACAACGTATCGTCTATTGGCATGCCAACGAAAGTGTTAGAAAAAACCAATTTTAAATTCGGTTAAAAACAATAAATCTAATATCGACCTATTTGTTTCTTTTTATTCTCATTTTTTGATTAGTTTGAACATAATTTCGAAATTAAATTTATCTATAAACAAAATATGGAGAACGATTTTTGATGTTGGAGACCATTACATTGGTTTAAAATTTTACACATAACTATTTCTAAACGTCACTACAGCGTGACGTTTTTGGTACATTTTTGACGACAAAAAAATGTGTCTCCTGCTTTCAAATCACAACTGTGAGTGATGATGTGTTTGGTCTTTATTTGAAAATTTCTCTATGAGAAATAAGTACGTTTTTCTTCACTCCTTGCCATATGCTCACATTATAAATTATAATTTCCGATTTTCGAGCTCATCTTAAGAATAATTCAAGTTTTTCTTTATATACACTGCATAAAATCTCTCTCGCGCGCTATCTCTCTTTCTTCTTTATTTCTTATACATTCACGCTCATAAATATAGGTTTTGTTATTTTCATTAAATCACTGCATTAAAATTGACATTTGAATGTTTATATAGATTCCACATAGGGTGACTAATTTTTTTTTTTGTTAAAATTACAAAAAAAAAAAAACACTTTACAGTTAAATTTTTGTTGTAGTATAATGTAGTATATTCTCCAAAATCTCCAATTTCGAAAAAAGTTCATTTTATTTAAAAAATAATTTTGTATTTCTTTGTTTTTTTTTTTTCACTTTCGGAAATCAACAAATTATCTTTTACAATTTATAGAAGAAAAATTTCTTTATACTAGGAAATGTAAAAATCAAATTCCCTAACGAAAATAAAAGTCGATCGAACAACGTCGAAAAGAATGAAACTTCAATTTTTAGACGTTCAAAAAGGCCAAACTGTATCAACTTTAAAGATACCACTCAACAATCGAAACAATCGGTTGGTTGTCAAAATAAATCACATATAACTCTCTTGAGATTTTAAATTTAGTATCTGCTGCATTCTCGATCATTTTTAAGCAATATTTGATAAAATAAGCTATTCGACAAAGCTGACACGTGTGTGTGTGTGTGGATATTTTTCAAATTTTAAATATTTAGGAAAAAACCTAACGTTTAATATATTTATCCTATCTTTTTCGGATTCCTTTTTGGTGATATTTCTCTTTTGCAATTAACTAAAACTATTTCATCACGACAATAAAATCCAGATGCTTTGTTGTTTTTGCATAAATATAACTTTTACACACTTCATAAGTTACGACGTGTAATTTTGGTATGGACAAGCAATCTTTTCGGGAAGGACATAGAACAAATTGCAAGAGTGAAGATCGTGATGTATTTTCAGGATTTTTTTTCTTGTGGTTTGGTTTTCATCAGCATATCTGGCAATGTAGTAAGACGTGCGATGTTGATTACAGAAAATGTGTGAAATCGACTGAACAAATTTTCACTATACAAGATAATTTAAAATTTCTTGTTCTGTTGTTTTGATCTATTCTTTGTTGAGTTTAAGATAATGAAAAAAGGTGGTTGCTCTATTCTTCGTCCGTATCACCATCGCTTGAGTAACCGGTAACTGTTGGACGACGAGCAAATGGTGCAGTCATCACTTGCCTGTGTATATTCGAAAGAAAGAAGAATGAAAGAGTGAGATAGATTCGTAAATTTGAAGATAATTCAAATTATTGAAACTTACGCAATTCGTCGGTAATGGTTAAGCCACTCTTCGAGCATTTGTGCAACCAAGAGTGGACGTTTGTGTAATTTTTGTTGAGCAACTAAAAGATCACCTTCTGTGACGCACACATCTAGCCACTGTCGCATTATTGACTCTTCTCTGCCCATCTGTTAGAGTGAAATTTATTATAATTATTTGGATGATGTTTATGGACAACTTGTGATGATAATCATACTTCATTTTGTGTTAGAAAATGTATGGGCAGCAATTTTTGTTCGCAATCCATTAATGGTAAAAATGTAACATCTTCTGAATCGTCTCTAGCTGCATCGATGCGACTATATGGTTCGGTTGGAACGAGCGCACTAAAATGACCGCGTGTATATCCCAGGGCGATGGGTGATTTTATACAAAAACTTTGCTCCCATAATAATGGTAAATAGAGACCTTCGAATCGTGCATAACCAATATCTTCTCCTCTAAAGCTTTTTACAAACTTTACACCATAGACAATGATTGGCTGAAAATAGAGAAATTGACGTATATCAATATTATGTAAGCTTACTAGCTGCATGCCATTGAAAGTGTTGATACTTACTCGACGCATAATGTGTGACAGGGCAAATATGTGAATTTGTTCAAGAGACGAACCCGGTTGATTAGCTAGCGATAGTAATGTAGTCCAGTCAATTTCCCATTGTGTTTCGGCTAATGTATAGTTCAATAGGGATGCTTGAAGCATTTCGTATTCCTTCCATCGCGGATAAAAGCTAGAAAAAAAAATCAACAAATTCAAATTAAATCATTGCTATGGTGATACGACGCTATTCATACGCTTTTACTTACATATTTCCACATTGATGTAAACTATCAGCAAGCGCACGACGCAGTACATTATCACGATCAAAAACGCCCCATGTCGATTGCATCACTGAATCGAGTAAACAATCACCGGCACTACGATTCCACAATACCATCAAACGTGAACCCAAACGAGCTGTTATTTCCAGCGACCAATTCAATGCCGGCGGTGAAGTTTCCAGTTGCTTTTGTGCATCACGATCCAATAATTCTTCATAGAGTTGCTCTTGTACCGATATTGGCAGCTCCTCAATTTCAGCTGGCAGTGAAAAGGTCGCGTGTTCAGTTACATAGTGACAATTAAACATATTTTTTCGTACACGCAACGATGTTGCAACATGTCGACGAATATCCGATGCCAAATCGGGTGCTACATACGATGGCACACGTTTTATGCCTACACCAAGCAAATTGAATTAGTTCTAGATGGAAAATGGGATATTATTGTATAGGTTAAACTTACCTGGTCCCGAACCAGATATTTGTGCTAAAAGCATCGGCAACATCTCTTCCCGATGAAAGCGGATCGCTAGGTGTATCAGCGTATGACCGACGTCATATGCTGAATTTCGGTTAAGCAGCGACACTTCTGTACTAGTTAGTGATCGGCCTGGTTATTGAAAATTAAATGTAACAACGTTCAAGTGTATTTCATTTTAAGTTTCGATTTATTAGAAATTAAATGCAACAATGTTAACAAAACAACAAGTAAGCGTATAATTCAGATAATCCTTCAATCGAATGACCCAAACGATCCGAGTAGTATCGGCTTTTGTGCAAGAAAGTACGAAAAAGTAAATGGAAAAGTAATTGGAGTCTTGAACATCGCATTCTCGTAGTCGACAAACACGAATGTAAAGGGGCCGAAGTCAATCTCGAATTACTTTCCAAGCGAAGATCACATCATTCTGATTTATACGCTTAATTGTTTCGTTGTTTCAATAACGTTGTTACATTTAATTTCTAATAAATTGATATTAAAATAAAATACATTTGAATTAATACATACCAGGATTACCACCGCACGATAAATATGCTTCGACGGCACCGTAATTATTCTCAACGACACCTAAACAATTCATTCAAAATAAGCGAGAAGACTCACACAAACATCGATAAAACATATACATACCAACGCAAGCATTTAACCATTGCCAATCAGCCTGTCGTCGAATTTGACGAAGGCGACGCTCTTGCAGTGAATCACAGTTATTTATTGGTTCGTTGCTACTCAATTGATAGCGATGATGAGATAAATTTCGTTTATTTGCGTTTGATATAATAAAATTTCCAGCACAATTTTCATCGATATCCCGTTCTGGCGACGATATTGTGTTAGCACCAAATCTTTCAGTCTCATTATTTACAACACCACCTTCTTTTGAACAACCGCACATCGAACATTTTAAACTTTTTGGCCAATTTTCGTATGTACACACCTGATTTTAATATTAACAATTATAGTTTAAAAAACCAAATGCAACGGAAATGAAATGAAATCGCACGTACCGAACACGGCCATTTATTGGTTGAATAACATTTGTTATCAACCGGACTTATTCGATTTCCAGCTGCTCCCAAATTTGTTCGCGACCCTGATAAACTGGTTGAACGCAATGGGCTTGTTCGATTATTGGCCGCTATCAATTCGGCATCAACATCTTTTATGCTAAGCGCATTAATCTGTTCCTGTACATGCTATGGGCCGCATTGCAAATGAAAAATAAAACGAATGAAAATTAATTACCAAAATAATGGAAATAATGAAAATATAATGGAAACAACTGTACATGGCTTGATGAATCTGTATCCGATTCACGTTTCACCGTGCACTGTGCACATCGGCTACATTTTATCGAATTTACAAATGTGCATACCGAACACGTCCATTTACTAACTGGTGATTCTTGATTATTTGAAGAGCCGCATGCGGTCAAATTACTTTGTGATAAATTCAAGCTGGATGACTCCACAATATTACTACAAGATACTTGCTGTGACGGACTGAGTCTGAAGTGAAACAAAAGATCGCAATAAATTAGCACTTGATCATCATCATCATTTTATCATTATTATTATTTTCTTCATTTTATTGTCATTTTTAATTTGCACTTTGATCATGATAGAAAGAAAATACAAATATTTTGCTTTTCCCAAAATAAAAACTCACCGAAATATATCCTCATTTAATAACGGCTTATGACCCATGCACATCGTACATTTTAACGATGACGGAAAATTTTCGTATGTGCAATATTCACACGACCATTTTTCAGTTTCGTCGTCATTTTCACTTTTCGTGCTTAATGATTCACTCATCTTTTTTCTGTATGGTATTAGTGGTGTATGGTGTACAATGCGAGCAGATGAGCGCGCGCGCCTTTGTGAGCCGAATGCAATTTGTTGTGTGTGAATTATGGGGCTCGTTCTCAGTTGAATGATGCGTGCTCGTTTCTATCACTGTATATGTTGTATATATATCTCTGTATATAGTTCAGGTGTCGTGGATCACAAGAAACATACAAATTCACACGATTGGTTAAAATTGCCAAGCAAAAAACAAATACAACACTGACTTTTTTGTCGTTATTATTTTTTATTATCTGTTGGTTGTTGTTGCTGTTTTTTTTTTCTTCTTTTAAAATAAATTTCGGATTGCTGCTATCTCCCTTAATCTGTGTGTAATCGGTTCTTTTTTATTCTCGTTGCTGTTGCCTGTTGACAAACAATGCAATGCTCAGTTGACTGCTTATCCGAAAATGTTTGGCAGCTTATGGCTGCTTCTCTCTTCACTTTGATGTACTTTGATGTGTCTATATATGCTATTCGCTTAATTTGTATTCTTTTGCGATGATTATATTTATTTATTTCTGGGATCTATTCGAAATGAATGTGTGTAAATCAGGTGCGACAACGAAACACGAAGCCAAACTATTTGCGCAAAGAGAAGCGAGACAGCAAAATCACCTTTCCTTGAATGATGGCAGTGTAGATCGAATATCACGACTTACGGTTAATTTTTGTTGTGACATTTAATAGCATGCACGAAAAACACAAAACTCTGTGTATCATCCTATTCGAATTGGTATCTGTAAAATTGTAGCGCGCGTTTGTATCAACTTGATTACTCTTGATATTGTTCGTGCATACGGCTTACGAGGATTCGAATTGAGTTTTTGATTTTTCTGTATTCGTTGTTGAAATGTGGTGAACATGCAAAAGCGTTCCGTTTCAAAATACAAACTTTCAGTCAATTTAGCCGTAGCTGATTATGTTGAATCAGTTTATTTGTTTGTTTGTAGTGCTATTGCCGTTGTTATTGTTGTCGTCATCGTCGTTTGGCTAATTGTTGCTTGCTCTCTTATTATACGCGCTGTCGATCAATAAAATATATAGTTAATCGAAAATATAGAATCAAAGCACGAAACTCAAGAAGAAGCGGAGCGATGCGCTTAAAAATGTATCATTTGAAATTTTTTTCCCCTTAACCTCAATGCCATACATTTGACATTGATTCACAGATAATACGAAAATAAAATTGTAATAGTGAATCGAGCTTAATAATTTCTTATTGGCGCACACACGTATCGGACTACTGTACACTGTCCAATGGAGTTTTATTACACACGAATACACAAATTCACTTTTCTTTTTCTTTTTTTGTTGGTGCTTGATGCCGTTGTTGTTGGTTCTTATTCACTCGCCCTCTCTATCTCTTTCGATCTCCCTGTATTTACCTCGCTCTCATATGAATTTCTCGCATATATGACGGGTTATCGTCAAATCTGGCCTAATATCATGTCTGCAAATGAATGAAAAGTGGAAAAAATTGTTTGAAAATAAATCGACAGAAAATTTATATATTAAAATTAAATTTAATAATTAAATACGAACAAAAGCGAAATGCATTTAAATAGTTACATTCAGTGGTTCACATCAATAGCAATTATCTAATGTAAATTTTATTGACGATACGGAAACGGTATGCACCTTTAACGTTTGTGCAAGGCTTGGATGAGGTAAATTTAAAATGAACACAAAAAAAAAATGCAATGAAGAAAAGAAAATGAAAAAGAAGAACGGGGTTTTGCGCGCTCGTGTGAAATACAACAATGAAAAGAAAATTGAACAATATATTGCAGTCGATTGAAACGGCCAAGTGAAACGAAACTTTGAAAACAATAACATATACATATAAATGTAAAAGAAAAAGAAAAACTAAACTTAATCGGAATCACACACAAACACATGCGCTCGAAGCCATAGTGATTGATATTGCTTGCAATCAGTCCAATCAATAATCGCACATAAACTAAAGTTTCAAAGTTTCAGCTAGCATTGAAAAAAAAAGAGCAAAAACCCATTCGATCATATTTAGTCGCATTGCTCACAAATGAGCTTACAAGCCCAAAAGAGAAATAAAAAAAAAACATACAACAATGTACAAAGAAAAATTAAATAAAAATTATATAAATAAACAGTGGCAACGTACATACAATGGCCCGCTTTTTTCGTATATGACTTCGCAAGAAAACGCAAAAATACTCTCTACTCGTTGAATGTGTATTGTGGCAAGAAATAACAATTTTTTTTTTGCAAAATTAAAAGCCAAACATGAAATAATCAAATAAAAAGAGAAAATTTTCTAAAAATAGGTCGTCGTTTTTTGACTTTATATGTTGCCCAGTTATTTAAAAAAAATGCTTTTTTTAAATTTACATTTCGGTAAAAAAAGAATTATCGCAAGATTTATTACATTTAATTTATTATCGTTGTCTATATCGAATGGTGGCAATAGCAATTTGATGGTTTAAATATTTCCTATTTGTCATACGTATGCGAATAATTGAGTAATTATGTGTACACGCGCGATTGAGCTCTTTAAGTTCAGTTTGGCTCAATAATGTAGTGAAATAAGTCAATGAAAAACAACACTCATACACCAAACACGAGCATATTCGAACGATTTTCAATTCAGATCATTATGTAGTTGGGGCTTGTGATATGGATTCACTCAAAAAAAGCCAATTTTCCAATATGAAAATTTCACATTGAATAATTAACAATTCGACAAATGTACACATAGATATTACAATCACAAGAGCACACACAAACCAACAAAACAGGCAACAAACCAAGTAAATGAAAAATACCACACACTCTCAGAGTCTCTCTTTCTTTCTTTCTCTTTCTCTCTCTCTCTCTCTCTCTCTCTATCTCTATCTCTCACACTCTTTTGATTTTGTTTGTTTTCATTGATTCTTCACAATCGTCTTCATCATTTTTTTCTTCACAATTACGTGAAAAGCGCATAAATTAAAATTCAACAAGGTGCCAAATAGATTACAACATAATTTTTTTTCACGATTTTTGGCCATATCGTTATTATACAAATGGATTAAAAACACTTTACAGAGAAAGTCATGCATCATTTTATTTTTCATTCCTTTATCAATTTAAGCTCATCACATATGTAATGCAAAGCACAGCTAAGATAAAATTATATATAAAACACACCAAACAAGAGATGAAGATATACACATAGATTGTTGGAAGTTATGAAGAAACCAAAATGCGCGCAAATTGTCGAAAAAGAAATATGTATGTGTGTACTACTTGGCCAATGCGAATCACTTATGGAAACTGTGCTAAAAACATTTCAACACACACACTTCATGACAACACACAAATTTTGATGACTAAATATACGATTAATCTACTTAAATTAATTCATTTCCAATTGAACTGCAATCGCTGTATGAAAAAATGAAACCAACCAAACTATCACAATCACGAATTATTATTTTTTCTTACATTGATTTCATCGAGGAACGTTGTTTTTTTAATGAGAAACTTGCAGCTAGCTTGCCTATGTTATTCTTAAACTATCTTATACGAATTAACAAAAAAAGGTTTTTTTTAAATTTTATTAGTGTTCACTTGTCATTGCTAAAAAAGCAATCAATTGTTCTTTTCCCACTTTGTTGTGTGCACTTATTTCGTTTCTGAATCGCGATATGTCTTCAGACACATCTCTTTCAATAATTAATACATTATTATATTTTTCTCTTCTTCGTATCGTCCGAAATCGTTTCTCTTTTCTCTCTGTCTCTCTTACTCCTTGTCTATCTCTTGACTTTTATTTTGACTACTGCCATTCGTTTTTTGGTCTTGAAACATCATTTGGCACTAACTTATGGCCTTTTTCCTTCTACATTGCTCAATATTTATGTATGTCAATCACGCCATCTATTGGATAATCTATGAGCTCACAGATGTCGCATTTACCCAAATAAGCCATTAAAATGACTAAACATACGAACATTTCGCTTTTTTTTTCTTCTCTACATCAAATCTAAAAAGAAAATCGAACACTTTTTAATCCTACATTTTTCAGCAAATTTCGTCAAATTTCCCATTTGATTTGAAGGAATTTAATATTTAAGTATATTCATATTAAAATGTCTGTCACTGAACACATATCAACATTTTAAAATCGAACGCACTCTTTTTCCAAATTCACTGCATAACTGCCATCGCTGTCACTATATACTATTTACGAGCTTGAAATTGTGTACACTGTTTGTGTGTGTTGTGTGTTCAAACTAAACTAAATGTATATTCGGTATTTTCAAAATTGAATTTTATTTCGTCTGATTTTGCTGAAAACAAAAGAAAATATACGTGATTAACGATGGGTGGTTGTCGATGCACATTTCGTGATTGTTCAAATAATACAATCAATTCACCTGGAAAGCATTTTTTTCATTTTCCATTTAAAGATAACGTCCGATGCAAAAAATGGGCCTTAAATTCGGAAAAAGTATTATTCTTGCGATTACCATGGACACAATTAAGAAACAAAACTGTTTGCGAAGATCATTTTATTGATTCGTGTTTTATGAATTTCAAAAAAGAACGTTTGGTGAAAACAGCCGTTCCGACATTGTATCAAGAAGATAATGGAAATATTATTGAAATTAAAATGGACAATGATCGATTTGCTTCATTGGAATACAGTTTTAATGAAAAGGGCGTCGATCAAAAGACAATTGATTTACCAGATTCGTGGCAAACCATTCATTTCAATTTGTCGGTTAATGAAGCTGCAAATGCCGATGATGATTACAATACAACTGTTGTAAGTGATTCAAGCGTTAGCGAAACATTGGATCTAAAACCAACAACAATCCACGCCAACGTATTGAACGACACAAAACCAATTGTATTGAATCGAGTTTGTATGAAAGGTAGCTTACCCGCAAAACATTTTTCAGTTCGAAATGTTCAGGAAAAACCAATTATCAAACGGCCCAACTATATTGCCGATGAGAATACCGGAACAACTTATTTGAAACCCATAAAACGAATCAAAACGGAGGGAGCGGTTAGTCGAACATACGGAAAATCAAGCCAAAATAATTCCACATCATTAACGGATGCACAGGAATCGGGAAGCTCATCACCAAACATCGATTATGGATGCACTAACCATGATCGTTCAGATGCACTAACCGTGAATTTAATTGAGAAAATCAATCACATTGAAGAGCGTGATGCAAATAAAGTTGATAAATCACTTTACATGAAAATGATGGCCGACCACGCAAAACAAATTGAAGACCTTAAACAACTGCTGACGGATAAGTTAAGTGAAAAAAGAGATACTCAGAATCAAGGTTATTCATCGGCCTCATCTTCTACCGATGCACGGCAAATTCGCATGGAAAAAGGGCCCGCAATGACAAAGGTTCAATTATTTAATGGAATTCGCAAGTATTTAAATCCAACAATGGTTGCATTGCTTCGTATGGAAATGTTCGGCAGTTCGGAACGTGAATATCGAGCCGATGAAAAGCAGCTGTCCAAAGAGCTGTATAATTTAAATCAAAGTGTATACGATTTTATGCGAGATGAATGGCGTTTCCGTTTACCACCAAAAGCTGACGTTGAAGAATGGCTTAAAAGTCCAGATGAAGAAGAAACATGGGATTTATGCTAATCATACAATGATTTTTAGATAGGATAGATGCGAAAGATCTCCGCAAGATCCAGATCCAAGCGTGCGTACGCTGCCGCATGATGCATACATATATAATACGCACGCAAATTCGTTATTCTTATTTCCCCTTCTTTGATTCGCATGCCATAGCATTACGGAGTAAGGAATGTATGTATCATGCGGCTACGTACGCTTGGATCCGGATCTTGCGGAGATCTTACGGATCTATTCTATCCAAAAATCATTGTATGATGCTAATACTTTTTTTTCTCCATCAATTTTCTCTGTATTCTATAGTTTTTTTTATTATTAATTATAACAATAATAAAAGCCATTTTTTCTGTCATAAAAATGTACCTAATTTATTATTATTTTTTTTCAGCACGTTAGAAATGCGAATTAAAACAGTGTCTTGATATTAATTGGACTACCTTTTTTCTTTTTAGATTCAGTGTCTGGCTCTTTGGTCGACGACGACTCATTTATAGTATTGAAACTCTTGACCAAACCAAAATCGTTTGACAGCTCTTCGATATCATCAATTTCAAAGTCGTTGTCTTCGACAACTTTTTGACTGCGTGATGATTTCAATTCTTTAAACGCCACTTCAAACACTTTTTCATCGTCTAATGCTCCTTGTGCCTTATAGGTTTTGTATAAATTGATGAATTTTTTGGTATCAGTCTCCGCACTGTGATCGTTTAAATTGATTAGTTCATACCGCTTTAATTGTTCATGGAATTTTCTGCAAAATATTTTCAACAATAAATATTATTAGCAAGTCTATTGTGCATATGTTTTTCATAAACATTCACACTTACGCTCGAATTAAATCGTCTTCGTAGAGAATTTCTCTAATTTCATCTTCAGGTCCAACTTTATCGTAACGTGGTTCATCGTACGGTGGATGTAATGCATATATTTCATACCAAACTGGCTTCCCGCTTTGAGGCAATACATTTCTTTTCAACATTGCATTCAAACTAAAAAAAAATTAAAGCATACAGTTTGAACAAAATTATGAATTTATATTACATTTTGACATCGGCGAAAACTTGATCAATGACTTACCGTGCAAAAATGGTTCCAACTTTTTCTAAACGAGTAATTCCAGACATTCTTTCTTGTTTTTTCTTATTATTTTCGTAATATAAATACAATAAAATAATAAATAGGAATTCGGAGTTTTGATTGATGGTGAATGAAAATCAAACCATTACAAATTGTAAGGTTATGGTTTTTCCAATACAAATGTCAAATATGTCAAATGTGAGCCATATGGTGATTGTTTTAGATCTATTCGGGCAGTGATATATTTTTATTTTTTAAATAAAATCGATAAAAATATTTTTTTTTTTTTTTTGGAATGTAATAATCGAAGTAGTATGACCCTTCAATAAATCAAACGTATATAAGTAATATATGTGATACTTTGCAGTCAACTTCATTGTTGATGTACATTTTATAGAATTGTCAAGCATGTGTTGATGTGAAAACGTGGGTTCGTCGAATATTCGCTGCAAATTCGGGATTTTTAGTAAGAAAATAAATTGTTCACAAACAATCAAAGACATTGTTTATACATTTAACTTTTTTTTTCTTCAATTCTATAGATAAACCATGAAATCATCACAGCCAAAAAAAGAAGCTCGCCTAGAAAAGAAAAAGCGCAAATTAGAGGCACTGGCCGAAATAACAAAATTAAACGAAATTGATAAGCAAAGCAAAAGTAAAATGAAACATGATCTTGGTGAACCAATTGCAAAGCGGCCAAAGGAAAGTGACACCGAACAAAATGACAACGCAAACGAATCTGACGTTCGTTCGGTTTTATCCGATGAAGATTATGCTCAGCTGAAACGTGAATTAAATCATAAAAAACGTGAATTGAAAAATGTTCCCAAACTGCGCACAAAACTATTTGGTGAAATGGCATTGTTGACCATTCCGTCGGAAAATCGAACGCCAATTTTATTCACGGATATTCAGCATTTAATAATGTATGGTTTATTAGGCAGTACATCACCATGTGTACCAACCAGATGGTGTCACTTGGAAAAAATAAATAAAATCTCACACACCGTTGTTATTTTGATCGATGGATTATCATTATATCACTTTTCATCATACGAATCCCAATTAAAATCAATCGAACGAATTTTCGAGCATAAATTTGAAGTTGTGATGCCGTCGAGCACAAAATCAACCGAGACAATGGCAAATGAAATGATGATGGCGCCGTTGACCAATATCTTTCGCAGTGATCTCGTCGATAAATATGGTAGTTTAGAAGCAGCAATCGATTCAACTAAAAATCCCGTTTTCATGGTAAATTCTATATTTCCAGTGTCGGACAACGCTAGCGATAACGATGAAATCGATTCGAAAAATGGTACCCAAACGGTGAAAACTGATGGTGAAGTATTTTCGCGTACACAATTACTGCTTTCTGCATTGCAAATGATTGATGAAGGCTATCCATTACCACTACGCGGTGAATTGGCAAATCGTTACAAAGATTTTGTAATGACAAAGGATAAATATAAAGCGGTTACCGCACAAAGTCCAATGTTTGGCGTCGATTGTGAAATGTGTCGAACGTCAGCCGGTGTGAATGAACTCACACGTATTTCGATTATCAACGAAAATCATGAGAGTATTTATGAAACTTTAGTTTGTCCACGAAATAAAATTGTTGATTATTTAACACCATTTTCGGGTATTACGCCTAAAATGATGAAAAATGTCACAAAAACACTGACCGAAGTACAAAATGACATTCAAAAATTACTGCCGGCCGATGCAATCTTAGTCGGTCAATCATTGCATAGCGATTTAATGGCAATGCGAATGATGCATCCGTATGTAATTGATACAAGTGTTATATTCAACATATCGGGCGAACGACGACGAAAATCCAAACTACAAACATTGGCGCATGAATTTCTGGGTGAAGCCATTCAAAAGAATCCATTAGGTCATGACTCAATTGAAGATTGTTCAGCAAGTTTGAAATTAACTAAATTGAAATTACAAAAAGGTATCGATTTTGGTGATGCAATTCTTGTAAATAAGCGTCGAGTAAACGAAAGAAATCAAATCGAATCAACAGCCAGCGAAAGTAAAGATGAATCAACAGCAACAACTTCAACTGCAACCAATAAAATGGATCGCAGCACGGCTGTTATTACGTCTAACGATAAATTCAGCGAAATATACGAACGAATTGTAAAACAAAAGATTGACAACAGCAACAGTGATAATAAAATTCACATTTATACAAATTCATCGAACAAATGTGCGGTACAAAAAACGTGTGAAGTTGCTTTGAATCATGCACTGAGCTTAACACATATGTCCATAGAGCCGAAAAAATTGGACAACGATAAGGTAGAAAAAACAATTAAAAAGGTCGATCAATGGATTGAAAATGTATGGCAAAGTGCCGCGCCAAACGCACTTTTTATCGTTCTATTTTCGGGACAACATGACACACAATCAAGCGGTGTTGCAATGCTTCAAGTAAAATCGAAAGCATAAAGTCAATAATCCTGAACAAAAAAAAAACACACACACATTAATATTGTTGTAATAAATTTTCAACGAAATACAGTCAATTTTTTATTGAATCCATTTTATTGTTACATTTAACTCTCTTTTCTTCTTAATGCATTATCACGTGTAAAACAATGATCTTCTTGTATTTACACCAAATATGAGTACTGACCAATGTGGAATGTTGTAATTTTGCCTTCTTGCATTAAAAAAAAATCTCACATATGAATCGTTGCGGCGAAACAGTAGCTCTTATTTTTTTCCAAATAATACTGCAACATGAAGTTTTTTCCACACGGTTTATTTGTTGTAATACAACAAAAAAACTATTCATAAAAAACTTTATGTTGCAGAATTATTTGGAGAAAAATAAGAGCTACTCTTTCGCCGCAACGATTCATATATACAAAGTCAAAAGCATTTTTCGCACCAACATTTCGCAGTACGTGAAAGAGAACAAGAAAGAAAAAGAAACTATGAGCAAACAATTCACGTATGTCTACATGTAAGGTAGCCAATTTGAACAAGATCAACGTATGCCATTGTTGCTGTTGTTTTCTGGTAGTAATAAGGTTAAGGGTAAGTGTTCCAAAGAAATAAAAAAAAAATATATAATAATTCTAAAGTATATTTTAGTGAATCTATGGCATGGAATATTTTTCGGTTCTTAAAAACAAGACAAATCATTTTAGTTAAAATTGGTATTCGACTTATTAAGATAAACAACAATCTGTTGAATTAATAGACTTTGTCTCGCCGTCTCCATTTGAGATTGTATAGCACGTACAATAAATATCAAATTATCAGTGTACAAATAGAGTGATTCTCAGATTTTAAATTTTATCAGTTATTTGTTCATATAATCGATACCTTAAATTGATGCACAAAACATATTGTCGCTAGTGTGTACATATATATAAAGACAAACGAAGTCCAAAACATTGTGCAATGAGAGAAAAATCGATTTGCTTTTATGATTAGATTTCGTATAAATAATAATTTCTTATAATTATGTGAGGTTCTGTAATTCGTGCCAAAATTTGTGTTGCTTTGCACAATATTCTAGCAAGAACAGTTGTATTGCTTTTCTTTTGGCAATATGATAAACAGAGCGCACGCTCCAAACTTATATCATATGGATGCAAGAGAGTACGAAAGATTAAGAGTGAGAGTGTGCCCCAAATGGATGGAAAATAGCAACCAGAACGACGAAAATATATAAACAGAGTTGAATTCTGGCAAGCTACGGACCTATATTTGCACATAACTGTGTGCTATGTATTTGTTTAAAAGAAAGAGAGAAAGAACGAAACTGAATGTGTGTTGCGCTTTGTGTGCTTTTTTCGATATTTGAGCAACACACAACAACGACAACAACAACCATAAAAACATAACAGTACAATAGGCAAGCAACGGCTGTATAGCATTTCCAACAGGAATTGGAAAATGAGAGAATCAACGAAAACATCGAACGTGAGTGAAAATAGTATTTTTAGTGGTGGTGGTCGTGTACGGTTGTGCTGAGTTCTCTCTCGTGCTTTGAAGAGTTGTGTGTATTTTCATTTTGTTGTGCGTGTTTTTCATTTTTACATTATTAACAACGGAAAATTTATTGCGAATAATTTTTGTTTAAGAAAAATTTATTTAAAAAAAAATTTAATCGCAATAATTATTGTCACATCAAATTGGCATATGTAAGTTATAAAAATATTTTAGCAATTCTTCATCGTCCTTTGGAGAATGGAGGGTAATTTTGATAAGCGCGCGCGTGTGTAAGTAAGTGTGGATATTTTATCCATCGCTCACAAAAATAGGTCAAATTCATAGCGAAAAACAGTGCCAACAGTGTGTTATGCCATGAAGAAATGATAAAAACCATGACAAAGTACATATTCCAACAACTCAAATTGAATTTATTGATTTCTTTGTTTGCGCCGTGTCCCGATTTTGAAGTCCCTTTTCTGTGTTTCGGTATCCAATTTCTGTGACTGACACAGAACAAACTCTGTTGAGCTGTACATTGTGTATCCCCATTTCTTATCCATGTTATGATATGGCGTGCCATAAAGTAGGCAACACTGCCCATTACGCATAGGATTCTATTGAGGTGTTCACACAGTTTTCTTTTTGAAAATGTATTGAAAGCGGAGACATTTTGTGTTTAACCACTCCTTGTCGTGTAAATTGCCGTGCAATTGAATCGATATTATGTCGTGTGGTGAAATATGTGTTGTTGCAGTAATGAGGAAAAACATTAATGCATGACTCATGAAATGCACACAATCAAATGAGCTGCACTTTTTTTTATGAAAACAAATTAATTTTCAACCATTTCATCCTGTTGCGAAAAGAACCATCAAGGAATTCAATTCAATAATGAGTTTTCAAAAAATCTACTTTTCATAAAATTGGCGCAAAAATTTCAAATATGTGCCATGATTTTTCTGTGGATGTCGAAACATCACGTTTAAAAAATATTGTGAGAAGGCTCAATACTTTTTTGACAATTGAATAATTTCCAAAAATTTGGTATAAAGCGAAAAATCAATAGTCATTTATCACTGTAGCTCGAATGTTTGGAATAGATTATCATACAGATAATGAAAAATGTATACTAAGTGTACTACACTATCGTCCCTATTTCCAAAATTTAATCGAATCGTAATTTGAACTCGAGCAAATAAAATTTTTATGATTCAGCTGAATGTAATTATGTTGAAAAATCCTGACCTATATTCAAAATTATGTTCGTGCGTGTGTATTTTTACTCTAAACTAATGTATATTTCAATAAGAAAAATCTATTACACATTCACCGTTATTACGGAAGTGCGAGCCGAACGAGTGATGAAAAATGAGCTACAAACGCAACGAGATATAACAAAACACAGATGTTCCACATGAATTTTTGAATTTATCGCTTGTTTGAATGAGACAATGTTTATCTTTTTGTTGTAGTTCATTTTTTTTGCAAATTATTTCAAAGACGTTTCCATACATATGTGATTAGTACAATAGCCATTCATTTATCATATTTGTGCTGTAAGTATCTGATATAAAGTAGCAATTCACAAAAGCCAGGAGATTTTTATTTCATAAAAATGCGCCATTGATACGACAAACAACACTGCCAGGGATATTTATTCACAAATGCCATTTCTTATATTTGTTACTAATATTGTGTCCTTATAAATAAAAAAATATTATACGTGATCAACCATACGGCTGGTGAAAATGCTCGGATTTTCGGTTATTTTTACTGTCCACGTTGATTCAATGCATTTCTTGTGAAGAATAATATCTATTTTAAATTAAGGTTTCTGTTTAAAAATATTCAAAATATTTTTTAAAAATTTAATCATGTAACGGAAATTTAGAAAAAAAAAAAACATAATTGAATGCTATGTAATCGAGTAAAAAGTCTAAGCAAAAGGCAAATAGCAACACAAATATAGATATAGTCATTAAGAGAAAAAAAAAATGAGTCTGTCCATTTAATTCAAGCGGATATATACAATCGCATCGAATGATTTGAAATGTTTGGCATAATTTCTATTTGCATCCAGTAACCTACATACATCATAGCTAGATAGCATTCATATGCTATTATGCAATATTACACGCATTTTAAATGCTATCTCAAAATCGTGTTTTATTCACTCTATTCGTTCAGGAGGCGATGTAAATTAGCCGGCGATGATGTCATCAACAAAAAGAATCGATAACAAAAATAGATTTTTGACTCATTTATGCAATCTCTCCAAACTCACATGTATGCAGTTGTCATCATTGAATTAGTCAGTTGTGAAAATGCCAAACCAAATACATTCTCAACTGAATAAAACACATAAACACTACATTGACAAATTGTATAAATATAGAATATGTTTTGAGCCGCATCACCATAAATAAAACCATCATAATTTCTTTTTTGTTTTTATCGGTTTCTATTACAAACGTTGTATATTTCGCCAAAGACTCGTTATGGTACATTTTATGTGATTCGAAATACAAAAAAAAGTCAATTTATTTACTGACTAAAAAAAATGTTCGCTCTTCTGTTTTTTTCTTCTTGCAATTGAAAATTTGAACGCGTGAATATTTGTTGTCTTTTCGTTCGACTTTTTCTGCTTCTTTAGTGTTCATCGAGCGAGTCACAGTCATATTTTTTCTCGTCATTATGCTATTTCATGTAATTTTAAACTTGACATTCACTTTGCGTTCACACTGTTCAACTTTCAATTGTTCAATAAACAGACATGTTCTTGTTTCATTTAACACAAAAAAATTACATAAACCCTTTCTGTAACATATGCGGCAAATGAGAGACAGAACGAAAAAGCAACGCACACAACTGACTTTGTGTATACAATGTATGCGATCTTGGGATATCAATACTTCTTGAACGTTTTTAGTATCAAGCAAAAAGTGAAACAAGATAATGTAAACGAAAAAAAAAACAAAAGAATTGTTCAATAAAATTCGCCCCAACAAATCAACCACTCTGATCTTGAATTTAAACAAACATATATTGTCTATTAATTAAGTCACAATGTGAAGAGAGGAAAAAAGACCGTTCATTTATCATTGAATTTGATTGTCGTTCATATTTTTTTTGTCTTCATATTTAAACATGTAAAATTAACAAGAACACTGTATATTTTTCTCGTTATTTTTTGTAGCACCTCTAAACAAAGCAACTCAACCAAGTGTGTGAATTATCGAAATTGGCTAGAGGGATACAGAGCGATTGAGTGACAGAGAGACAGAGTGTATGCAAAATGGCTTTGGGAATTCCTGCTGAAGAATCGTCGGAAAATCAATCACAACCAATTACACCGAGTGCACCGCCATTGGAATCCTTGGGATCGGTCGATGTAAATCAAGTTCGATTTGTTGTAGCACTAGATGCAACAACAAACAGTCAACCAATTTCAGCTCAAACAGCATCGCTCAATGCCAGTGAATGTTTGCGACGTATTATAAATGAAAAAATCAATTGTGATTCAAAGGGTAATCACTAGGGGCAATTCACTTAAAAATTACCTTTCTATTATTTTATAATTGTTATTGATTCTTTTTCGATTATTTCGATTATTTTTCGATTATTTGTCGATTACTTATCGATTATTTCCAATTAATTCTTTTCTTTTGTGATTCTCCCCTTAGGTAATCACATCATACGAGACGTCACCGAACCTGAATTTCGGCAAATGATTGAGTTTCTTGAAACGAAGAAATTACAATTTAAAGATCAAAATCATCGCTTGCAAATGTTTAATGTGGCCAAACAATATAATTGTGCTGACATGCAAATATATTGTTTGCGTGAAGTTGATGCCAATTTGGATGTATCAAATGTAATCACAGTTTATCGTACGCTATGGTTTTACGGTTCATTGACATCGAACAAGGATTCGATCGATCGCAAAAAGGCCAATTTCAAAAAAACCAATTACACACCCGAAGAATTTCTCACATATTTGGTATTCAATGTGTTGCAATTTATCAATATGAATGCAGAAAATGTTCTACTATCGGAAGATATTGATGAACTGCGATTCAAAGAATTTGAAAATATTGTGAAACAAGATGATCTACTGTTACGCTCAGAAATGGTTTTAATTAATGCGCTGACACGTTGGAGCCGAGCCGAATGTCGACGAAAAAATATCGAACTCACCCTTGAAAATGAACGGACCGTTTTGGGTGAACTTTGCTATTCACCGAGGTTTGTTTTGCAGTTTTTTTTCTGCGTGTCCTTCAAGTCCATTTATATCCACTTTTCTCTTTCTTATATATAGGTATTTAACGCTCAAACCCAGCGAATTTGAATTGGCCTGTAAGAATATTCGATTTTTAGATCCGGCCGAAGTGACATTGATTCGAGAAGCATTTGATGGCAAAAAATCTAATTTAACTGCTGAACAAACAAATATGTTGAACAATTTTCGAAAACCACGACCAAAATATACACGCATGCCAATCTATTTAAGTCCACGTAGTCACCCAAAAAAATATCCACGGCGAATGCGACGAAATGATCGCAACGATAGTGATGGATCATCATGTTTTCTAGATTGTTTAGCGGCTTTCATTTGTCTATGTGATTAAGAAAGACTAGCGTTAATTACAATTAATATGACTTTGATTTAGATTGGATATGTCGATTTTTTGTTCTCTCGAATTTAATGTGAATGACATCGGGTAGTAGTTAATTGAATATTTTAAGAAGTAAATGGTGAACGATAACGTAAATTAAGACCAAATAGCAAAATTATTTTAGTTCAATGCAAACAAATGCAAACATGGATACGATTTTATTTTGAGACAGTTTTAGGTAAAGCCATCAGATCAAAGCTTTTTTTCGAACGCTGTGATGCACACCAAACCAAACATAAAGAATGCATCTATGCAACTGTGTTTTAAGATCTAAATATTTTAATCGTTTTTTTTTGTTTAAAAATCTGTCCATGTTACGAGCATGCAAATGTATTTATTTTAGCTGAATATATTTCTACAGATAGCAAAAATTAATCATTATTTTTTAATCTTCCACAGATCATTTGAAAAATCAATATTTATTTTGAAAAAGCGCAAAACGTATTTTTAAAAAAATAAACAACACATGTTTACTATTTGTAACCAGAATTTAGACGACAAATGAAACGAATAGAGAATGCTCATTATAGTTAAAGAATTCTATGGATTGTTAATAAGGATATTTTAGCATATTTTATTGTATTGAAAGAATGAATATTCGATTTAGAGTGAGAGTTTATTTTGAAGAAAAAAAGAATGAATCGTGCAAAGTTGTCTGAATATTTTAAATTGATATGAAAAATAAGTTTATCATCAAATGTTAGTCGAAGTAATAAATTATTTAAAGTGGGATGAACATAATTTCTCCTCATACAATAACAAAAATCATATTTGATTATTAGTTGCAACTGATTATGTTGCAATGTTATTGGTTTTTATCAGTTCGTTCTTTTGTTGTTTTGCCATTTGAAAGAGATTTATGAAAAAGAGTTTCAATATTTTACTATAGTCAAAAAAAAAAAAAAAATCGAAATATACGTGGAACTTTCGTTACGTTTATAATCTGAGCAGAATAAATGTGAAGAATATTCAGAAAGAGACTTTATGATATATTCAGTTAAATAGAATATTTCCTGAGAGCCTGTTAAGAAAAGATAATTTGATACTTCACCTATGAAGATTTATGAAATCTCTTCATGATTCGCTATTAACGAATTAAAAATACAAAAACCTTTATATACTGAATACCGATATACAAATTATTTGTAATAGATGTGATACAACTTATTCAATAAAGCCATATTTATGTTCAACGTATGAATTCTTCTTAAATGTTTTTTTACAAAGTTTCACAGCGATGCATCTGATATAGACACTATAGTGAGTACCATGAAACATTTTTTCAAAAATTCAGCTTCCAATTTTGAATAAAAAATGCGAAAAGAAAATGACATTCGTCTTGAAATTGATTGCGAATTTGTATTAGAATACTATGGTTGGAATTTATTTTGATGAAAAAATGGTTATTAATTTAAATTTTTATTGATTGTTTCTGAACAAATTTGCTTTTATTAAATATGGAAATTGATTTCATCAAGTATTGGAATGATAGAATATTCATGGTTGAAAAAGTATTGAAAATATGATCTGGTTACTATGAATAAATTTGGATTTGTAAAAAGGCTAAATCTTTGAATTACCCTTGTGGAAAATTACTGACTTACTTAGTTAACTAATTTTGGACGTTTTTGGCCAAAACCAACTGAGATTGAAGTTGTTTTAAGTTGATTTGGCTGATTTTTCCTAGTCGAGAAAAATACAACTAAATTCAATTTCAATCGCAGTTGACTATATAGACAAAAACGTCCCAAACAAGTCATCTGTTTAAAATGACATACATAGACCACTAAAGTCGACTGGGCAAACGACTTCAGTTAACAAAATTCAATTTCAGTCGATTTTAGCTAACCAGTCAATCAGTCACTTTTTTTCCGCCCGGGAATATAGTTCAAATTGTTTGGTATTAATTCTCTAGAATAAAAGGAACATATTGCAACATTCGGACCCATTTATGCTAAAAAAACACCGAAAATGGTAAAGGAAGGAATGGTGCCCACACATGCATAGCTTCTGACCAGGGGTCCGGAGGGTCTGATTAACATCCCTCGGAGAATGGATTAGGAAATGGTTCATTGGGATCACCCCCATATGTATCCGTATCTGCTTGGAAATACAATGAGCCTTTGGAAATTTCCCCTTTACAAATTGAGAAAAAGCTCTTTGCTAGCGGTTTGCTAGGGATTTTCGCCAAAAAAGTGAAGAGTGAAAAAAGAAAAACGTAAAAAGACTGAGATTCGGATAGAATGGCGACAAAAAATTAGAAATGACCCATTATAATTTTGAAAAACTCCGTTACTTGCAAATCTTGGAATTCGGCATGCACCGCAGGCGATACATGTGATGGAGCGGGACGCATTTTATTTATCAAATCTATTCGTAAATAGGTTACACACTTTTTATAAATATTTATTTCAAGATCGAAATTTTATTTTTGAATAAATTATCAATCAATTTAATTGTATCTTAAATATATTAAACATGTTCCGGTGTAACTGTGCTGCCTGTGCGAATCGATTTTGAAGACAATGCATGATGATAACTATACCGCCTTGTTGGACCGCAATATATGACCTGGTGAACACCGAAGAGAGACATAACAAATAAAACAATACAAAGAACCAAATCCTATTGCTTGATATCAAATCTAAACATATCTATATAATTATCGATAATTTGAAGCTCCCGATAGCTTCGAGCCCGAAAGATTTAAATTATCGAGTTTTTAAAATGGTTTTTATTTGAAATTTTTTGGAACCGATTTCAGTTTAGACATTTGTTTTGAATATTCATTAAGATTTAAGAATAAGAATAAAACTTCCCACCTTTTTAAATGCTTTTCTAAAATTTTCCGACAAAAACGCATACAATCTGAAAAGGAAACATATATGTGAATTTTGATATTCGAATGTGATGCGCTTTTCTTCATACAATGGATTACATACAATGGATTGATACAGGCTGTGGTATAGGCCAGTACATGCGACGCAATTTGCAGCAGAATATCAAATCGTGTGCATGTATTAAATAGTTTTAAACTCTTTAGCAACAATATTACCTAGATTGATTTGAAAAGTAAACAAATAAAGAATATTTTCATCGAAAAATATAGGAGGTAAGTGATAAGATTTGTATTTAAACATCACTAAGCAAATAAAAAAAAAAAAAAAACAATGCACATTTCCACTCAATTAATTTATTAAATAGATTTGAGTAGATATGTAGAATTTATGCATAAAGTGCGTGATTATGCATATTTGCTTGAGCTTACTTGTATCGGAAACCAGAGTAATGCGAATGCAGCAACAACAACAAATACAAGTCTCGTCACGCGTTTTCGCCCTCGCCCTCTCGTTCCATTTGTCCGATTGTGTGGCACAACTGTACGCCACAAACGTAACATGAATGCATATAAACCACTTATGAGTGTTAATGGTATTAAATATGAGCTCGAAAAGAATATTATGTGAAAGGCGGCAAATGAAATGCCACCACTTTTGAATACGCAAAGCTTGTAGTCGATAGACCCATATGTTTCAGTCTGTGGGGAACGAAAGAGGGAGAAAAAAAACAGTGGACATTTTTCAATTTATCTGAATCAATACGTATAATTATTAAGTTATATGCAGCCGGGCTTTTATCGATATGCATTTTTATTTTTATTTTTTTATGTCCTTATTCATCCATTCTCAGTACATCACAAATGGAGTGAAATTTGTGTATAAATATAAAATTTAATGTGAACTGATTTCCTTCCCGCTCAATTATTCATCCACTTTAAATAATGATCACCAAGACACATCTCGAACATTTTGAATTTTATTGATATAATAATGTTTATATTATGTCTTGGGGTAGCTAACTGAGCGAATGTACGAGTGATTGAGCAAGCAAACAAACATTTATAAAAAAGATATTTGAATATATTTGGCTTAAATGTGGCGAATGGCGAAAGAAATATAAAAAACTGACAAATCATTTAGTTTGAGATGTGTCGCGACTTTGTCAGTGTGCTTACGGTTTTTTTTTTGTTCAGTATCGCTTCGGATGTGGTACAATACCATTACCCTGAGCGACATCGTTCACAGAATAAAAAAAAACAAAATTATTTTATTATTATGGAATATTCATTAAATTTTATGTTTAAATTTTCGATGTCAAGATATAGAGCTTAACATTCTGCTATACATCTCAACGGGAGAGTAGAAGCAGAAAAATGAAGGGGTCGTGTTGTTGTAGCTGTACTGAGTTATATTCATTTGATACATGTATTTTATTCACTTAGCGATGTGAATTACTCAATAATTAAATCTAAAAGTAATATTTCTGAAGTGATCCATTTGGGTACAGCGCACTCCTTGTTACTGTATACTTTGAACGATTTGCTTTTCCAATGAAAAATAATTGTATGTATTAGTGTGACAGCGGCCAATGTGAAAAACAACAACAATAACACAAACGTTGTGGTACATATTCAAAATCTGGCGGTAGTAGCGGTGACGCCAATGAATTTATCTGATATCCATCATTCCACTTTTGAAATTCGAATCAGTTTGATTTTTATGAAAACCCGAAAAACACATTGTTTGGCTCCGATTTTTGTTGTGGGACTACTGCTGTGATTTGCCATCATTTGCGAAGTCCATCGAGACGTAATAACAAAATGCTTTTCAAGCGAACGCACATACACACACACACACACACACACATACATAACGCCCATTTCAATTTTCGTTAATAACAAGATACTCTCGGATACTGTCTTCGATTGGACTTAATGGTTGGTTATTGATGTTGACACAGAGATTTCATTGAAGCTAAAACATTCGCAAACATAATAACAGAAAACATTTTCATGGGTATATGCGTATATATTTGTGTATGGAAGAAAGAGAGAGAGAGAGAGAGAGAGAGAGAATGATGAATTTTCCATTTAATAGTATAAAAAATCCTGTGTGTTAGATATTATTTGTATTGTAAATAAGAGATAAGACGGTCATTCGTGAAAAAGTGTGGAATGGTTTTCCGTTGATTGCAAATTCACTTCTCGAATACAAACTGTGGAACGCCAGAAATTCTATTTATTTTATCAAATTAAATATTTTTGCTGATGTTTATCTACGTTGTCACTTTTGAAACGCTTATCATCCAAAAGAGAAAATCGGTAACAGTTTTAATAGCACACACCCAAATCAGATCCGATGCTAAAATAGTTTAAATTGAAATAAAAGGAATCTAATATATCCATTCAATGTGTACATCTAATTTGACCGGGGAGCTTGTATATGTGACAAATGGGAAATCAGATTGTCACACAATGTCCGTTGGCATTTTTGTTTTGTTTTTGTATTGCCCAACATTGTTATTCTATGCATCAAACGTCTTAAGCAGTGTCTTTACATTGATTCATCTTGTTTTCTAACTACTCTCCGAACGATGGTTTTAACTGTTTATCGCATTTTATAACAAATATTTAGTTAAATAAACAATTCGCTTTGCACTTCATTTTGACTTTAAAATTAAAACATAAACATGAATCATTTCGTCCACTGGGATGCAATTCATTTGGATTATTAGTTTGAAAATGGAATTTCATATCTATGTATACATTATATATAATGAGAGTGGTGGTGGTGAAAGAGAGAAAAACGTTTAGGTAAGAGTCACAGTAGTAACAATTCAGAATAAAGAGAAAATTGTCATTACAAAGTGACTTTGAAGTCGTTTTGCCCAGGCAGTGAGCAATAAACTTCGTAGAAAAAAATCAAAAGTAAAAATAAATGAAAGAAGAAAGTAAGTTTAAAAGAAAAATCTCTTAAAAGTAATATCTGAACATTTGGAATCAATAGATTTTCATGGAATTTCTAAAATAGTTTATGGCATTTTGATGAAGAAACAGCATGAGAATGATCTATAAATAAAGAAATAATAAGAATTATACAAATGGCCATTGCCGCCACCAGGGCATCCATATGGATACATATATGATATTGTAAGCATACAAAAGAATATCAGTAGTATGCAGAGTAAGGGGGCTTTAACCCCCTTGTGATTTCGATTAGAAAAATAATTTACGGAAATTATTCGAATTTGTTAGGGTTTTTGATTCAAAAAGTGAAATGAGACATTTTTACGATTTGCTACGACTTTTCGACGCGAGATAAATTTTTCCGAATTGGTTTAGGGAATTGGGTTTTTTGAGAAAATTATTTCCACCTCCCCTGAAATTGCTCGCATACTACTAAATATATAATGTATTCATGCAAAGCAAACAACCAGACATACAATTACGCATTATTGTTATATTCTATTTTTGAACTACTTGTTGCTTTTATGATCGTATTATTCTCGATAGCTGAACACAATACCGTTAAAAAAGGAATATAGAAAATAATTGGATGAAGTTGTACATCCTTTGCTTTTTGTCGCACATTTGATGCGAGTTGGGATTAGCGACAATTAGCACGTATAAACTGATTTCGATTTTTGATAAACATTATTATTCTCAAACACGTGTTCCGCCATAAATTCCCCTACATTTTTGTGCTTCCATTTTGTTCTTTTTATTCTCAGCATCAAAGTCTTGCCGAAAGCATTTACAAATACGGAACACGTGTCATCTTAACGAATCATGCCAATTGCGATGTCATTGTATTTGAGACGAACGCTTTTTCGAGACGAACGAATTTTTTCCACGGAATTAATTAATATTTTTGATAATAGGCTGCTGTTGCTGGAACATTCGATCATTATTTACTTAAATTGAAATCGACCCAATAAGCCAAATAGCACCATGTACCTTTAAATTGTTTCTCTTGGCATGACGTGTAAGCTACATTGAAAATCTATATAAGCTACATTGAAAATCACTGAGATTGTTTTCAGTTGCTATATTACAGTTATGTTGATGATTTCAGTATGCAGGCTACTCACATTATAGACACACAATGGTTTCTTAGAATAAATTATCTATTCATTAAAGATAGAATTTGGTGTATTGTGGAAATCGTAGAACTAAACAATTTCAAAACTCGTTCATCGCCATCGAGACGATGAAGAAAGGGAAGTAGATCCGCCACCGGAAAATATTTGAATTATTTTTCCATTATTAATTCAAAAATTTATTACTCAACTCGGAAGAAAGCGGGGGTTTTCAATTATTAGGTACTTTTATTCGTGGAACGTACACTCTCCGTGAATTGTATTTCTGCTGCCGAAAATCCTTCAAATTGTACGATATTAATTTAACACGCCTTAAGAACAATAGTGAATAGTAGTGTTATGTGATAATAAGATGTCATGAAGTGCTTTTATGATTGCATTTCTCAAACACTATGTACATTTGACCAATAAAAATGTCGAATTTGTTCGCTATTCCAAAGGGAAATGAAAATGTTTTGAACTTTTATTTGACAGCCATGTATATTCTCTATCTCTATTTCTCCCTGTGAAATTATTTGTGTTGTTGTTGTTCAGTTTTTCAACTAAGCTAAAAGAATCACTTAAATCAAGTCAAAATATTCGTGTTATTGTTGATTCGTCACATTGCGAATAAAAAAAATCAATCGATTTTATTATTTTCAATGAAAATGTATTACGTGAGAAATTCTTTTTCATAATAAAAACCTAATTGGTTGTGTCTATCTATTTTCATCTAGCTCGGTTAATGGCAACAGTTGTGAGCTTTTTCGGTTTTTCCATACGGAAAAGAAATATAGTATACATACTAATAATTTTTGTTGACAATAGCGCGATAATTTTTGTTTGTCCAGAATAAATGGTGAGCACTTGATGATATCGCTGAATGTTTTTGTGTATTTAGTTCCCATCCGCGTCTATGTATATCAATTTTTTTGTTGGTGGTGCTTATGTCATGCAAATGGTTAGAATTTGGAACATTTTTTTAATTGAGTACATATCATATTTTCCGATGGATTTTTCTACGTTCTTATTTTTCTCGGTTTTATCTCCCTTTGTTTAAAAATGACATGACTACAACTAGTAAATTTTCGGTTCTAAAAGTAACTCACCACAACTCCATGGGCAAAGATGACGGGAGTGGCTGTAAGTAATATAAGTAGCCATAAAATTGTAATGGCTTTTAGAGTATTTCGTTCATTTCGCAACGTTCGACTCGATATGGGAAAAACGACGGCTAAAAAGCGATCCAAACTCATCAAAACCAAAGTGTAAATCGAAACCAATGCAGTAACTATTATTAAATATTGAACAATTTTACACCATGCATTCCCAAGTGGCCACTCATCAGTCACATAGTCGATCGCTTAAAAAAGATGTAGAAGGAATAAAATACAATCAACTTAACAAATGTTCCAATCGAAAATGTAATTGAAGTAGGTAAACCTACCCGTAAACGGAACACAAAATACAACAAATAACAAATCGGCGATTGCGAGATTAATAATCAGTAGATTTGTCGTTGAGCGCATTTGTGGATTCATTAGCACAACAAAAATCACCAAAACATTGCCTAAAAAGCCTGTAATGCCGATTAAACTGAAACAAATCATCACCACCGGCTTAATTGTATCATCAAAATCGGTGTCAGTTTCATTTGTCGCACACTGATCAGCAATCCGGCTAATATTATTATGTAAATCCATTTTGTTTGCGTTTGTGAGGGTTTTTGCGAGATCACAGAACAAAAGAAAATTTAGACGAAAATCCGTTTTATAACCTAAAAAAAAATAAGAAAATGGACACAACAAATAACAAATTATACTATTTATTATTTTATTATTATTCTCACTTTCTTAATTTTTTTCTATTGTGAATAATTTACGTTGGTTCCATTGCCAACTCATTATTAAAAATGCCACCTCATAAGTTCAAACCCGTGAAATTCTTTCATTTAGAACAAAACCATGAATTGAACAAATGAAGAAAACAACGTCGATTCTTTATTTAATTATTTTGATTTTTATACAGCGAGAATACCAAGGAAGATTCGAATTCTCTGAAAGGAAAAGAAGCACTCTTTTCAAATTTGTACGTCCGTATGGTACTAACCGTCGACTGTGACTGAATATAAGCATTCAATGTTTACACATTTTTGCCACGCATGTTATCTCTTTGGGTTTCGCATGAACCGTCGTAGATACTGTTACGTATGCCACGTTTCACGGCCTATTCTCTATTATCATTGATGTTATAATAACACTGTTAATATACAATATGAATGAATGCGACTAAAGGATGTGGATACAATTTTGAAACATTTTCCACACTATAGCATGGTGCACATTTCTATCCAAAAATGCTTTTAAGTTGATTGGATTTGATGATTTAATTTTTTTTGCTTTATTGGTTTTTTTTTTTATTTGTTAATTGAAAACTAACAGCTGGGTTATTATTTTCAAAAAAATAGCCTATTTGATTTCAATCTTCTTCTCTTTATCGTATTCAAACACTAATAAATGAGACTATCAGAAAAATCACTATTTTTGGGTGTAGCTTTTAATTGTTCACATTACCTGGTGATAATTTTATAAATAATAATACATACACAAAAAACCCTTCTCGGGTACAATTACACAAATTGATGTAGTACGATCTTTCGTCAATTACTAGAGCTATATTTATTTATCCGATCCGAGTTTGGGATCCGATCCGATCCGATGAAGTTTGTCGATAATTTGTTATACTTAATAACATTGTAATATAATAAACTTTGGAAAACTTAATTTTCTGCCAAAAAAATGATCTAGACAAAATTTCATGACAATTGGTCGATAAATGAACATAGCTCAAATTTCACATTTTCACAGAAGTAAGTAAAAAATGACATTTGACGAAAATTTGTCATATTCAAATTTTTTATTTTTAATCCGATCGTCGTGAAACTTTGGGAAACTTAATTTCTAGGGGATCGGATCTCGATCAGAAAATAGCGAATTATTCGATATTTTGAGAATTTTATGCGAAATGATTTGTAAGCGATGGGTCAGTAAAGTTGTGATTTAAAAAACAATTCGCATACAAAACGCTATGAACGTGAGACAATTCGCAAAATTTGTATGTTTTTTATGTATCAAATTGTGAACGCTTGTAAACGAGCCAAGTGAATAGCGGCGACGCACGAAAACGGAATGAGTGAATAGCGACAACGAACGAAAGAAAAAATGTTATCCGTTGCCGCTATTCACTTGGTTCGTTTGCAAGCGTATATTATATAGTTTGATTGTGATAGCTTATTGCGATTAGCTTGCGAATTGTACGCGAATTTCTTGAATTATTTTACCAAAATGACGACTTTATCATACAACTAATAAATTTTGTCCATTCGCGAATAGATCATTTCCCCTAGCTTAATTTTCTGCCAAAACAATGATCTAGACAAAATTTCATGACAATTGGTCTATAAATGAACATAGCTCGAATTTCACATTTTCACAGAAGTAAGTAAAAAATGATGTTTGTCGATAATTTGTCATATTGAAATTTTTTATTTTTAATCCGATCGTCGTGAAACTTTGGGAAACTTAATTTTCTGCCAAAAAAATGATCTAGACGAAATTTCATGACAATTGGTCGATAAATGAACATAGCTCAAATTTCACATTTTTACAAAAATCAGGAAAAAAATGACATTTGTCGATAATTTGTCATATTGAAATTTTTTATTTTTAATCCGATCGTCGTGAAACTTTGGGAAACTTAATTTTCTGCCAAAAAAATGATCTAGAC